TGACCAAAGGCAACGACGGCCGCCTCACCCCAGTGCAAGAGCCAAAAGCGATTGCGCGGCACAGTGGGGGGCACGAATGGGACAAACAGAACATGCTGGACGCCGCTGTCCCGGGGGCCACACGTGGACCGAAACTCACCGGGATCGTCGATGCTGTGCAAACGGCGCATGAGATCACGCAACCACCTGGTGGGGTAACCTTCGGCCCGCCATGGTAGATCCACAGGCTGGCGGACATTGAGGGTCCAGATGCGCATGATCGCAGGTAGAGCGGGCGGCTCAACGGCTGGTACCAGGGGCAGCTCCGGAACGGTTTGCATCGAGGCGGCTTGGCCACTAAGCAAGAGAAGAGCCAAGCCTCCCGCGAGCGACATTGAGCCCGCCTTGGCGGCTACAACCTGAAGGACCCCGTCAACCACCCTACCCACGAGACCAGGAAGGACCTTGGCAACAAGGGCTCGGGCTCCATGCGGGCTTGGGGTCATGAACCTCACTTCTGCTGATGGCTCAACGCTGTAGACGGCACCGTCGGGCTCGATGGCGCAGAAGAAAAAGGAGCAATGCGAGACGTAGTGTTGTACCACGGGACGTAACAGTTCGCACCCAATCGTATCTTTCACAATCCACCACGCAGCTGCGCCAGGAGGGGCAATGATAAGATCAAGAACCTGAGGGTTAGAGTCGAAGGCGACGTGGAGACCGTATTCACAGGCCGGCAAGAAACCCCCTAAGTAGGCTCCTAAGTGGGCACCTAGGTGCTGCGCCGCCACACGCAGATGAATAGGGCCCTGTCCGGGAAGCCATAGGTGCATTTGGACCTCGGAGGAAGGGCAAGTTCGGGCGATGTAGGCCCCAAGATGTGGGGAGGCTACCGCGAAGCCATAGGTCTGTCGGCTCAGCTCATGCGTCCACGACATCGTGCAAGGCCTGGCGAAGTCCCTGCGCAGCTGTAGGCAGCCATCCGGCAAGGTCCTAGGCTGCAGGGTAGTGGACGGGAGAGAGAGTTGCACCGCATTGACAACCGAAGCTAAAACAACCATTAGGCACCCAACCCTAGTGCTGCGCAGCCCGGCGAGACGCAGTGCCGCCGACGCCAAGCTCGGGGGGGTGGGCGACGGGCTCGGGCTGCTGTGCTGACACTGTTTCCAGAGTTGGGCAACTCCTTCATGCGAGTCGTAGCCGACGCTGACACAGAGTCGCAACGGCAGAGAGTTCACTTGGATACGGCCAGACCCGCTGGTTATCCGAGAGGAACGTGTGCGGAAGCTCCCACAGCGAGATATCAAGAGCGGTGGCAACAGCTTCCCACGAAGGGGCCGGAGTGCACATACCCAGGAGGCTGCTGCCCTCTCGAAGGGCCCATGCAGTGAAGCCCGGGATGCAAGTTATCAAGCACTTGACGTGCCTCGCGTCGCACCAGAGACTGACAAGGTCGGTGGCCGAATCTGGAACGACCCCGACGCTGCATGCAGACGGGGGTGCTTGGAGGATGGAGGTTTGGGTATTAGTAACCAAAAAGGGGGCACTAGTCTGGACCCCAACACTATGGGCAGTCTTAATGCGGGGCACAGGCAGGAAGTCTGGGGATCGCCGTATTAAGGGGGGTTGCCAGTGCAAATGTATCGAGTGTCGTCGTGCACGCCCGAAGTCAGCTTGGGCGTGCACTACCCAGAAATGGCAGTCCTCCCGTCCTGGAAAGGGGGAAGACTCCCAAGACAGCACAGACAGCCCAAAAGGCTGGACCGTCCGCAGTAGAAGGGCAGCAGGCCCTGAATTCCGGAGGAGACTCTCGAGAAACACTGGGAAGGACGAGAACACACCCGCAAAGGCCATGAAGAGCCCAACCGCGGAGGGGTCGTGGACATCGGTGAGCCTGTAAATGATACAGTCCTGCCCCGGGCGCACCGCAGCAAAGGTGGAGTGGGGCAGGGCGTCGGCCCCTGGCACTTCAAGGAAAACATGCCTCCCAGGGATACTGGTGCCAAGCAGGGCCCGAAGTAACGGGGTGGTCAGATCGGCCGAGCGCGGGACCTCAAAGGTGAGTACTCCGTCGCTAGGATGAAGGATGGAGACAAGCCGAGAAGTCTGTAACCAGCGGGAAGCCGTCTCAGAGTCGGAAGGGAGAACAAAGGCTGACACGTCCAGTGTGCGAGCTGGGGCACCAGCTGCGATCCGGACAACATCGCCGTGTCGGAGGCGATGAGCAAAGCCCTTCAAGATCTGCACCTCTTCCGCCTCGGCAGCCTGTTGCGCAATGCGCAAAACCTGAACGGCAGTGTAATCAGACGGTAACTCCGCACAGACAACCTGAGAGCCGGCATCAAATAACACTGTCAGCATCCGTGGGTGCTGAGGGAGAGTGACCAAATTAATAGCGTCGCTGGTGGGACCTGCAGACGCAGCAACAACCTGGGGGCGCCCCAGGCGGATGGCCTGGCGGTAAATCTCAGCAGCAGCCTCACGGGCGGAGCCCAAACCGGAGAATTCAAGCCTGACGGACGTGCCCGGCGACCACAGCCGACATGTAATCAGATAGCCCCTCTCTTGCACCGGAAGCGACTTCCACAAGGGACCTTCGCCGAAGTCCCCTTCCTGAAGCCAAACAGCTTGGAGAGAAGCGTGAATACTGGCTGGCGCAGCAACCCTTCTATCCGTAGCTCTAGCAGCGGAGACGACAACCTCACGCGGAGAAGCTGGTTCGCTGTGCAGGTGAACGGTGCAGGAGGGCACAAAACCAAGCAATGCTATGAGGATGTAGCTGCGGGCGCAGCACGGCATGCTAAGAGCTCCGCCATGAGCCAAGACAAGAAGGAGGCTGGAGAAGCAGAGGCGCCGAGGTCGCGCGTGGGAAGGCGCCGGACCATCATCAAAGGCAGACCCAGGCGTCTCATCAGCCTGAGGCGCAGGTGTTTCTGGGAGGGCTGCAGGCGGGTCAAGAAAGGCAGCCGGGGAGATCCCGGTACAAGCCGGCATGGCTGTGGCTGTTTGAGATCTAGCTGGAGACGGCAGTAAAGTGTGCTGCATCGAAATGACAGTATCGGTAGCACCAGAGGCAGCAGGTTCGTCCCAGCCCCCTACCTGTTCCTCAGAGGAGGACGAGGAGTCCTGTCGGAAGACATGTGGGAAGAACATTAAGACTAGCGGGAAGTTGCCGGTGAGGACCTGGTCAGGCAAAACCACTAACTCCCGATGTAGCAACCCGAAACCCCCTCTAGAGCATTGCTCAACCCATTCCAACGGAATGCAATTGCGCTCTCTCCTGGAAGCAGCACCGATGGCGGCGACGGCGGTGACCGGCGGAACCACACACACAGTGGTAAGACGCCAGCCAACTGGACGAAAGTCCAGGATGCACGGTACCTCATCCCCTATGCAGTGGACTTCCAGAAACTGGACTAAAGGGAGGGAAGGCAGCGGCTGCCAGATGCGCATGGTCCCCCCAGTGGCATGGGGAGAGGCTTGCGTAGCAACGATGCGACGAAAAGTGGCCGCGTCGGCGAAGACCGGAGCTTCAACATATACTAGGCCATTGGGGGTTATTAGCACTGCCTGGTTGTGAGAGCGGCCGTGGAAAACCTCGGGGCCTGTAGGATAGGTGGGGAGGCTGACCTGCATAGCCGAGAAAAGAGAAATGGGAGGGTCAAGGGAGGCTCCAACAGGGCCTTGCAGGGACTCCAGCGCTGGCCCAATCTGAAACTGCAAAGTGTCAACATCTTGCAGAAAAAGAGGCTGGGAAGTTAGCGTAAGCCACCCCCATTGGCATCGCGCAAGAAGGCGATCCAGGTCAGCACGAACCTCCTGGGCTGTCATGGCAAGCTGAGCAATAGACCTGCAAGTGGAGTCGCGAGAGCAGAGCAGCATGCAAACACGGCCTCCAAGCTGCCTGAGGTCAACCGGGAGCCACACCTGGCGCCAGGTGCAGGTAACAGGGGACAACAGGAGCTGCTCACCTGGGAGCCCAGGCAGTACCCCACGAATTGGGCAAACCGAGAAGGTGTTCGCCATGAAGCCAAGGGAGGCAGACAACCGAGCGTGCAGGAGAGGGCCATGGAGCCACTCATCCACAAGGAACGGGACGGGGCAAGGCTCGAGAACAGGCGCTCCCGGAGGAGTGCCGACGAAGACAGCCAAGTGTCGGCGGTTGCGGTCTGTGCGGGGAAGAAGAAGATTACCAGTCCGGCCGACTGGATAAACCTCACACATAGCATCCACAGAGGGAGTGGGCAAGACAGGACCTGTGCTGAGAACGGGACGTCCTTCATGAAACCCATGTGCATGCAGTTGCACCGCCTCCGGAGACCGCGAGCAGGAGGCTGCGAGGAGGACACCAAGGTGCAAAGACGAGCCATCCACAACCGAGAGGTAGCCAAGGAAAAGGGCCGTTCCCAGGCGACGGCAGCCAGATACACGAGCACCCAGTCGGCTTTTGCAACGGCTGCTGCCAACACGACGGCACGGAGTCCCATTCCGGGTGCACGACCAAGCATCCTCGACCTCAGAAAGACAAAGGGTAACCCAGCGGGTCACAAAGGACAGCCGAAGGGGTTTCCGCCACATGCAGGTCCGGTGGAGGAGGGAACGGCACCGGGAAGCGAAGCCGCCAGGACAAGCACAAGTGCAAAGATGGCCAAGGCGCGTAGAGCCCAAGTCCAGGGCAAGACCGGGAAGGAAGGCCAAAAGTTCGCTGATGCAAGCGCAGGCAAACATGGAAGTAGGAGGCCCAAAAAGAGCTGCCACCCACCAAGCTGTCGCTGACAGGGTACAGCTAAGCTGCCACGAGCGGCGCCACGGGAGCTGAGGTCCGTATGTGGCCAGGAAACGCTCACTGACGACGGCTACTCTGTACAGAGCTATGTACAAGATGAGGCACCGCCCTAGGAAAAGGCTGAGAGTGGTCAAAGAAAGAGGCGATTTAACGCCGCCTTCTTGAGCACTGACAGCTGGGCTGAGTGCGACAACGCCGTTGCAGCAGAGCAGACTCGACGAAACATAGTCCAGTATCACTCGAGTTCTTTGTCCAGTTCCTCGGCCAGCGCTGCACCAAGGAACGGGGAAGGCAGACGCAGTAGGACCTGAACACGTGGGTCCTGTGAGGCATCCCGGGCGACGAAGCCGCGCAATTGCACCTCGGCCTCCAGCAAGAGGCTGGGGAACAGCCATTCCTGAGCCGTAGAGGGTGCAAATGAGAAGGGATCCAGCAGGCCTCCTGTGGTCAGCAAGCTGGCAACCAGAAGTCCTTGCCGGACCCGCGGCAAGACGTCCGTACACTTCCGCAAGCAGTGCAAAGCCGTTTGCAGGAGTCGATGTAGCTCCTGCAGATCCGCCTGGGTGGGGTCGCTGACTGCATTCACCAGGGCCGTCCACGTGGACTCCGCAGTTTGCAGAGTCGCATCCTGTGCTTGTGCATCCAAAGTGAGCGGCAGGCAGGCGTCTTGCTGAGGGCACTGTGCCACATCGCCCACCATGTCGGAGCCACTGTCGACACAGAAACGGAGCATGGCCATCCAAGCCTCCACCCATGGACCAGCAGATGCAGCCAACGCCCCAGGGAGGAGCTCGGGGCCTTCGTCTGCCACCACAGTGACCGGAGCTCGCGGAGGTGCCTCCGGTGTACGGCCTGTAGATTCCCGCGGCCATGGAGGCCCTGGCAGATCGCGCCGGGGGCTCTTGGATGGCCGCTCGACGCCGCCACCACTGCGTTTGCGCCATCTGCCACCGCGCGCCTCCGACTCGCCGACGCCTGTCGAGCGTTCTGGGGTCCCGAAGCTGGCCTCCGATCCACCGCTCCCAAAACCACCAGGATGTGCTGCAGGTGGGCCAAGCGGGACCGGTGACATCAGAGTTGCCGACATAGCAGTGGCCGGCTGCAGGTGGGCCCCAAGGGTGCCACGTGGCACAAGAGGCACAGAGCCCCCAGGGCCAGGATGCATGTCCAGCGATGAAGGGTTCGTAGTAGCAAACGCCTTGAGGGCAGCAGCAAGCCGGTGTACCTCCTGCACCTGCGGATCCGTCCAGACAGGACCCAAGGACTGTTCCGCTCTCGCCAGCTGCTCGTTGGTGGTTGCCGACGGTTGTGCCGCCGAGACATGACGGAGCTCCTCGGCTGCAGCGATTGTGTCCTCGTCCACCTTGCGAGACAGGGCATCCACACGATGCGTCAGGCCCAACAAATGTTGGCTGAGCATAGAAACCCAGGCTGTCAGCGCATCTTGTAGGTCCTTCTTGGCGCGCATGTTGCCATTGAGTCTTTTGGAAAGGCGGCCCAGGGTGTTGGCTGTTCGCTGTGCCAACTGTTCCACTGTTGCACCATCTGTCGTAAAGGATCCTTGTCCCCAAAGGTCCTGTGTTGCCCTCGATGAAATTGATTGCAACGTCTGGACCATGGAAGACGGCAAACCAAAATCGACACGCGTGACCTGGGCTTCGGTGCGATCCTTCCCTTTCCCAGCTCCACCTTTGGTGGAGGGTTGATCGTTGGCTCCCTTTTTCGGGGGCATGCTTCCGTGGTGGACCTGAAGTAGGGCCCGATCTCCCGGTTGTCCGCGTCCACGATGGAGACGACGGCGTGCCTGTGCCCGCTGTTTGCGGGCTCGGCGATGCCACGCGGGGCTCCGCGGGCGGCGCCCTGTCAGATTGGCCGCTTCCCCAGAATATCAGCAAAAACCCAACCAAGGCCAGTGGCAGAATGGGAGTGTAGATGCGCCGAGCAGTCATACACCCCGGAGGGCAGAATAAAATACACCAAATACACCAAAGGCAGCAAGCCCCGGCTTATTGAAAAACAGCGGGGCGAGGCCCTTGAAGGGAGAGGCGCGCCCTCTCCAAAACTGACCCCTGTCAGTGGCTGACCACCAGCCAGCAAATAACGGCCAATTAAATGGCAGCGTTATAGGAGGGCCGCAGGCCCAAAAGCGAGCGCACCACGGCGCAGCACAAGCGCAATGCGGGATTGCTGGGGTTGGGTATATACAGGCGGGGAAGGTCACACCAAATTGGTGACACCTAACTCGCAACTGTACTCGGGCCACAACGCCTTACGCCCTAAACCCTAAATCCTTAACCCTAGACCCTGAAAAACCCTAAACCCTTCACCCTGAAAAAGAACCGGCGCCTCGATCTCTTGCTCCAGACGTCGGCGGCCCTCATTGCACTTTGCTGCTTTTGATTTCCCGTCACAAAATGTGTGAAAGCTGATAGAAGTTTCAGTCTCCAGGCAGAGCCAGCGCCAAAGACATCTGAGACTTTGCAGTCCCAAAGATATGTAGTACATCATATATAGTATGTAATAAACAAGAAATAGTCTATAGCCTATAGTCTATAGCATATCGTGTGTATATATATATATATATATATATATATATATGCATATAGTATATACTAAGCCTGAGGCTTTGGGTTTTCCGACTTCCGCCCTCTGAAGGCGCCTGCGCTTCGGTCTCGGCGCGCCGCCGCTCCGCGGCCAGAGCATCTTCAAGGCGACGTCTGGCCTTCGCCGAGGGGATTCGGGTTTAGTGTTCAGGGATTAGGTCTTTTTTTTGAACGCCTTTCCTTTCGCCTGCTGAAGGCTAGGGATTAGGGTTTAGGGTTTACGGTTTGGGGTTTAGGGTTTCGGATTCAATCTGTCTAGTAGTGCCAACTGCTTGTAGCGGAAGCATATGGGGGAATGCTGACTATCGGCAATCACCCAAGACCATGGCTTGTAGACGAAGCTTCAACTCTTAGAGGGGCTGAGTTTCGGAAGCCTGAAACCTTCAGGCCATGCTCCAGGGGCTCATGCACCCCGTCCTTTTTCTAAGCGAGATCGGCCGACTGCAGGATTTGACAAATCATCCAATCTGCTGAGCTGCTAGAGCGTGTTGTGACCTGACTCGGTAAAAAGACCTAGCCCCGAGGAAAAAGCCTGTAGGAGCCGTGAGCAAGATGAGGATATTTGACCCGCCAATGGCCGAATTCGCGACACAAGTCTCATCGGGGTGTGGGGTGGCAGCCCAAATGCCCCCTCAAACTTCGCCGATGTTCATTCCACGTTGCAACCCAATGACAGAGAAATTAGAATTGTGGTTTTGGGCCCTTTATACTATATTTGTATTAAGGAACCCCAAGGTAGTATGTTTTAAAATCGAAAAGCCTGGAGCCAGAGCAACCCGGCCTCCGCTTCTCGGGCAACGAGATCTCGGTGTGCCTGGAGCTCCGACTCGATTGACCTGAGAGCCAGGGCGGCCCTGCTTGAAGGGATCTTTTTAGGGTTTAGGGTTTAGGGTTTGGGGTTTAAGGTTTAGGGTGGGCGTCCAACCCGAAACTCCGCAAAAAGCCCTTGTGTGTGGAAACAAGGATCCCTGAGTAGGGCACTGGAGGTGCTCGGTGGCCAGAGCCAGAGCGGTGAACTGCCAGGCATGCAAAGGCAAGGCCAAGAACTCTGGCCTTTTCTGTGTGAGAGAGAGACAGAGAAAGAGGGAGAGAGAGAGACAGATAAAATCCCGTCGGACGTAGAGAAGACCCGCATTCTCCCACCAGCCAGCAATCGACCTGATCCTCGATGTCAGGCTCCTCATCCACCGCCAGGGCATCATCTACAACGATGTCCTCGGCCTGCCAAAATCTGAGCAAGGAGTACAGTTCAGTGAACATGCGCTCGCCTGGCTCGTGCAGCATACAACACGAGAAACACTGCACCCAAGCCCTCCTCCTCGCGCACTGTGCTGGAAACGCCGAAACCGAAGCCATCGAAATCCTTCGGCAGGAGTGCGCACAAACTGAGTCCCAACCGTCATGTACCTTCTAATTCCTGCAGCGACTGCAACATCTTGCATGTAGGATTGCGAGAAAGGCACACGCATCACATCTCACATGAGTTCAAGAAAACCCCCTTTCTGACAGGCCTGCGCTCTGGGCATCGAGCTTAGACCCAACCCGAAGGACGGAGCTTGTGCCTCATGAGCCGACAAATGCTCTTGACAACAAACGCCACAACTTGCGCTGGACCATGAAATTCCTGTTGTGACAAAGGAAGCCCGAAAAAACCCTTGCCCTGCCCTGCTGTGCCCTGCCAAGGCACAATCACATCGTTCTCTGTGACCAGCACGGCCTCATCCACAAGGTCCTTCACAAGACTCAAACAAACTCAGACTCCTGCATCATGAAACACGGCTGTGGCATGCCACGTCCTCCGCTGGGTGCATCTCTTCGGCGCCGACTTCCACTTCTGCCGGGACCTTAGTACAATCTCCGGCATCAGAAAAGTTACTGTGACCTGTGTGACCTGTTTCGTTAGTTTAGTTATTCATTGTCCATCTGATAGTTCTGTTTCAGTTATTCATCGCTTATTATATAATTCCATAATAAATGACCATATTAAACATACTACTTATCTATCGACAAGCTCGTCGAGCATCTGCACATCTCCCCTTGCGCTGTCGGACCAGAACTTGGCCCTTCACAGAAGGCTCCTCGAGGAAGCCGGCCTGGAGGCCGTGGCCTCAAGACAAAGTGGCGATAAATCCTGTTTAGGATTTAGGTTCGGGATGTAGTTTTGGGCTAAATCCTATTTAGGATGTTGGTTTGGGACGTGGATTTGGGGTCAAGAGTTCAGGGTTCCGAGTTTCTTTGAGTGCTTATGATTCCCAGGCTTAGAGTTTAGGGCTTACGCAGGATACAGTGGATTGCAAATCACTGGAAGGATCTGGACTTTCGGTCGGGTCTCGGATGAGTCTTATGACCCTGGTCCAAAATCTCCACCCATAAATCCAACCAGCAATACACAGAGCGCTGTGACTGGGCCAAACGTCGAGGTCTGCACTTATCGTGGTAGTGGGTGGCAGCGTCAAACCGCCTCGAGCTGAATCCGTCAGCTGTATGACAATTTTGCACCAACGACTGACCGGAAGCGGACTGCATAGATCTGAAATGCAGTCAGGTTGCTGCCATAGCCACTAGGCATCTCCTAACACTTGCGGTTTAGGGTTTAGGTTTTAGTGTTTAGGGCTTCGTTTTTTGTGTTAGGTTTGGGGTTTAGGGCCCTAAACCCTAAACCCTAAACCGGGGTTTAGGGTCTGGGCATCTCCTGGCAACACAATCCACACTACGGGGGCTCAGAGAGTCGCAGCTATGCGCAACCGAGCGCCTCGCAACTCGACAATGTCAAGTATAATGGTCATAGTAGTAGTAATAATAGTAATAGTAGTAATAATAATAATAATAATAGTAGTAATAGTAATAGTAGTAATAATAGTAATAGTAATAATAGTAATAGTAGTAATAATAGTAATAATAGTAATAATAGTAATAATAGTAATAATAGTAATAATAGTTATAATACTAAAGTTACTAAAAGTAACAATAGTAATAATATGGTGCCTGTCCTTGACTGACCGCCATGCGCTGTTCAAGAACTGCGCAAGGGTCGCGCTTGGACTTTTCGGTGACTCTGCATCATCATCCAGGAAGAGCTCCTGGTGCTTGGGTACCCACTCCGGATAACACAACTCGACAGCACAAAGTGGAAATTGGATGACAGACGAGGCTCGCAGGCTTCTTTTGCAACAGCAGTTCCAAACTGGCAATGCAACGCTGTCCTCGTGCTCAGGTTCCATGGCATCCACTCTGCAAGCAGCCTAAGTATTGACAACATCATAGTAATAATAGTAATAATAGTAGTAGTAATAATAATAATAATAATAGTAAAAGTAATAATAGCTACTTCACACTCCTCGGCTCTCAGTCTCTTTTGGACGTTGCAGCCGCATGTGCCTTCACTACGTCATGGCCCCCATGCCTCCTGTCGCAATCGGCATGGCAAATTTCTTTCAGCGTTGTGTTCCGGGAGGACATCAACTCTGCGCAAGTCATGCCAGTCGAGAACCTGTTTGCTGAGGGTGTGCTTGGGAAGATGTCATGCTTTCGTTTCTTCTCGTCGAGACATGTTGGGTTGCCCCGGTTCATGGAGCTGTGATTCCATGGCGGACTCCGCTCCTGTTACGGTTTCCCCTCTCTTTAGATTACCAGCTGCATCGCTCTACACTGCACTTATCGGAAGCACGACGCATCCCTTGCGACGACAGCTCGGTCGGCCTCTCTCCAGTTTGTGCAGGCTCAAAAACAGTCCCTGTGCTGTCTGAGCAGTTTGCAGAATGGGCTGCCGAAATCTGAGTGCAGGTTGTACTTTCTCTGCCTCCTTCGGACAATCATGCAAAAGGTGGCTCTTTCCACGTCTTTCCCCTGACCGAGCTACACCGCGCCTCTGTCCACCTCCTCTGGCGATAAAGGCTCGGCGCAGGCCAGGGAGCTGAGGTGAACCTCCTCGTCGCCCGGGCCGCCCGGAGCACCAGTCCCCAAGAAGCGAAAGCGATAATACTAATACTACTAATACTACCAATACTACTACTGCTACTGCTACTGCTACTGCTACTGCTACTACTACTACTACTACAACAACTACTACTACTACTACTACTACTACTACTACTACTACCTAACAGTCGCTGAAAGAGGCACAGGGAGACTCAGGGAAACGAGTGATTACAGTCTTAGTCACTCACAAAGTCCCAGAAGTGAGAAGAACAGGCGGCGCTCTCCTCAACTGCCATGGCTGCCGCTGCAGCAGACACAGAAGGCAGGCAGCTGAATGGTTCGGACTCTTTGTCGCTTCTTGGGACAGTCTTGGACTTGGCGAGATCCTGCAGCAAGAGCAAGAAACCAGCAAGAAATAGACTTGGCTCGCCCCCTCGCATCTGAACATGTCTCCTTCGCATCCACGGCCCCAGTTGGGCAGGGTTCTGCCTCGGAGACTCTCAAGGAGCATCGGTGCAAAACAATCATGAATCGCCCCAGCCCAGTGGCGGTGGGTCCGCAGTACGGAAAGGACATCAGACCCATGGAGCTGAGCAGGTTTGAAGCCTCGACGGCTCGAAGCGCACAACTCGCTGACAGGGGGCATTTTAGTCCTTGGGCCCGGGCCATGCACGGCGAGTCACACCCGGACCTTACGACGCTCGTAAGTCTGCGAGGACCCTGGTTGAAAGGACTCTGGGCTTCCGACTCGCTCCAGGGTCACCGGCGGCGCTTGGCGTCCCCTTTACCCCTCTCCCAACTGAAGCGGCAAAAGCTACCAAACCACGCTTCAGCACAGACACACAGAGACGCAAACCATCACCTGCATCCTAGTGTGCCACTGGAACTGCTGCGATCACGCCGGGCCCGGCGCACCACACCGTACCTGTGATGTTCTCGCCCAGGTGACGGTGCTTGAAGGTCACAAAGAGCCGTGCGCTCGTGATCGGATGTATCTGCGCTAGTCTTCACCAAGAACGGGATTCAGTCTTCACAGAGTGGCAGTCTGGCACGTGGCCTGACATGTTGAAGGCACGAGGTTGTCGCAGAGAGTGCAGGTGCCCACGTCGGTCATCTGCCAGGCAGGATGCGTCATGAACTGGCATCAAGCATAGCTTCTCCATGATTCCGAACTCGATCACAACTCCCACCTCTGTTCTGACGATGGTGCAGGGGCTGCTAAGAACGTGGGTTGAAAGCCTCATGGCCTCAAACATGCCAATGCCTCAGCACAAGCATTCAAGCTTCTCGACCCAGCACTCGTTGCTCTAACTTGGTAAGAAGGGTAGTCCTCTTGCGGGAGTCTCTGTCGAACTTGAAAAAACAACATAGACAGTGAGGCCAGCACAGACCACGGAGAGGCAGATCAGAACGGCCATGGGGCACCACACATGCAATCTCTGCCTGGCTAATGTAGAACAGATGTCGCTGCTTGCGCTCGAACCCCTCAAGCGGGCTAAAACAGATAAGGGCACCCAGCGATGCAGTCGAAGCAGCCAAACGGGCCTGTCGGGTGGAGCTCTGCAGCAAGATTGATTGCATAGCCCGGATCTGCGGGGCACAACGGGGCGGAGGCATGGGTGGCATCTTGGCAGCTTTGCACCGGCACCAAATCAACGCGAATCGAAGAGGCCGAAGCCGAGGCCGACTGATGCCTTTAGCAACAGACGGAGATGCAGAAGATGCATCTCTCCTGCCACTGCCTGCAAAACTAAAATACATAAAACACTACAACCTAACTCTACCAGCAAGACTTCCTGCAACGACCCGAGGTTGTACCCATAAGTCGGCCGTGATCCAACCTGTTCGCAGGTTCAGATCGCCCAAGAGCCTTATCTAGAGTCACAAGGCCGAGGGGTCGAGAGCAGATGAAATCTCAAAGCTCATCGGAAAATCAGCGCCCGCTCTGTCAACAAGCTGCGAAGTACATTATCCAAGCAACAACTGAGGAGCAGAACTACTCTGTGTCCTGTATGCCCTTGCCCAGTTTGTCGCCGATAGCTTCAGCATCCAGGTTCGATATCTCCAGCAGTTTGGTGGACTTGTTCTTGGGACTCAGCACGGACATGCAGACAGGGAGGAAGATCAGCCCGTGCGAGCCGCCCGCCACCACAATCCCAAAGAACATCTGAAAGAAGACGCGGAAGGCCTGGCTCGAGGAGAAGGCCAGAGGCAAGATGGCCAAGAAGGTCGTGGAGACGCCCAGGAAGATGGGTTGTCCCATCTCCTTCATGGCCAGCTCCGCCCTTTTGGGCCCTGGCAGCGTTCCATCTTGCAGCCCGAAGCTGTGTGCCATGTGCATGGAGTAATCCACAACCAAGCCAACTGCCATGATGAGGTTGATCATAGAGATGGAGTTGAGAGCCAGGGACCACAGCACGATGTTGCCCATTAGGTCCATGAAGACCAGCGCAAGGACGAGAAGCACCACCAGAACAGAAAGAGGATGGGCCAAGACAAGGGCGCTAATGAGCAGCACCGCACCCAAACAGAGCCCAATACTAATTGTCATCTGCTGCACAATAATACGGTACTGGTCAAAGAAGATATACACCTGCGAGCTCATGAAGCTTCCAGGTAGCGCGCTTTGCCACTGCTCCGTGAAAGCCTCCATTTCTTCCAGCAAGGCAATCTGCTGCTTGCTGTTGAACGTGTCGATATGATTCGCCCGGAGCCGAATCACTTTAATCTGTCCGTTCTGGATCACCACATCATCTTCGAAGGCCCTGCCCCGAGGCGTTGCGAGGAACTCCTGAAGTGCGGTCAAGAAAGTGGTGCCTGTGACCAGGTGGCTGGTGCAGGTTGTGACGCCGGAAGGCAAGCCGGCCTCGCAGCCGGTACGGTTGGTCTCGACTGCGGTAAAGGCACTGTCAGGCAGGGAAGCAAGGACACCCTTGTTCTGCACTGCCCAAACTGTAAAGATGGTGTGCCATGATTGAAGGCCCCGGACAGAGTTGATGTTGCTGAGAGCCATCAACCCGGCCCCGGCCTCTTCCAGATGCCGCTGCACTGCCAGCGAGCTGAAGTCCTTGTCTGCGACATAAAAGGCGGTTGGCAAAGCCAAGCCACCCGTTGAGAGGCCGCCGAAGTGGAGGTTTTCCATGTTGTAGAAATCCCGCAGGAAGCTCTGGTCGGGTGACAGGTCCATGATGTCAAAGTCGGTACTGAGGCCCAGGCTCACCTGCCAGGCAGACACCGCAGCTACCACGAGGAAAAGGATGATGGTGGTGAACGAGATGGCTGGGTGGCTGGTCAGGAACTTGATCATGGCCACGAGGGCCGTCTCAAGAATCGACGTGCCCTCCGAACTCTTGTTGCTGGGCATACATGATGGACCGGCCGCAAGACAGAAGCAAGGGTCCAGGCGAGGGGGGTCTGCTTCGGCACGCCTTGCATCAAGGGCGAGTAGGGCACAGAAGGTGGTGCAGTGAAGAAGCCAAATGTAGAAGCAGGAGATGGCGGCATAGGCGCAGAAATACTGCACCGAAGGGAAGATACCGGTTGCACCCAGCAGGAAAGAGGAGATGGAGGTCACCTTCGTCAACGTGATGGAGACTCCCACGCGCTGCATAGCTTTCTCGATCCGATCAGGGATGCTCAGGGACGGGTCGATCGCATCGAAGGCCCCAGAGATGACGAAAGCATCGTCGATGCCAATGCCCACAAGAATGAAAGGGAGGATCTGCTGCAGCACAGTGAATGGAATCCCGATGAGCATGGAGGTGCCGTAGCCAGCGATGCAACCAAACAGTACCAAGTAGAACTCGACTGCGCCCAGCAGCCTTCTGCTCTGTGTCCACGATGCTGTCTTGCCAAGGAAAACCGAGCAGAATGTGGCCATCAGCACAAAGGCTACGGCGAAAAGCGGAATGTCGGCCCGCACCGTTCTGTTCAGCTCGTCGTCCTGGGAGCGCTGCGCCTGCACAAAAGCATCCACATGCACATAGCGTTGATTGGAGAGCTGGTCCTTGGTGAAATGCTCCACCAGAGCCTCCTCCCACTTCGTCATCCTGTCCTCGCTGTCGGCACTCAAGATGAAGTCGACACGGGCAGCAGTGGCACTCGTGATGCTGCCGTTGCCATCGCGCTCGATGCCACCCAGTGAGTCATCGGCGAATGCTGGAGCACCGTCGGGGAAGTTGGCCTTGTTCACAGCAACCAGGATGTCGGCTTGAGTCTGGACTGTCTGATTGAAGTCGGCTGTGGTACCGGTCCCAAAGTAACGGCGGACCCCAGGATTCAAGCAACCGGAGGTCACCCGCAGGCACAAGTCGGCGAAAGTCGTGCCATCACCATCAGAAAGTGCTTTCACATCATCTGCAAGTCGGAAAATCTCGGCCATCGTCTCCAGTCGCAGGATGTTGCCACCATCCTTCGAAGTGACCAGGACACGATTCATGCGGCCGCGGCTGACGAAGTACTGCTCGGTCCACTCCAAGTCCTTCATGGCCTTTGAACCTTGATCCACCCAAAGCTCACGCGCTTCGCTCACGGCCGTGAAGCGCAAAACGCCCACGGCACAGAGCAAGCATCCCAGCACCGTTAGGAGAATGCACCTCCAAGGACTGCCTGCACAGGCCTTGGCCACCCTACCCAGCCCATGGGCCGCTCTCTCCTCCGCACGCGCAGTGCAGGAGAGCCAGGCTTGCAGGGGCGACATCGAAACTACGCGGAGCCCGCTTGTGCCCAGGCTTGCTGCAGAATACCGCTGAATATAGTCGTCTCTGTCTCGATAGCAGATAGCAGATGCTCTACAGCTCTACACAATACAAGTTCTGAGTGGGAATGCGAAAAGCACGATCTCGTCAACGGAGCCAGCTCGGCAGCCCTGTCGCGAAGATCGATTGGCTCTTTGTCCATCTTCTGGAGACCTGCAGCGCAGCAGTGCAGGATGCCGAATATGCGGGCCCCTGTCTGAGACTCCTGAGACCTCGCCTACTGCGAGAGGCGAGATGGTAGCGTATCGCTTGTGGGAGGTGCATCCTGAAATCCTGCGGCTCAAGACTCAGCAACAGGTGCCGCTTCTTCCGTACCCATCGAACCCTAGTCTCCAGCCGTGCTTAGGCCCAGGCACTGTCCTTGGAGTCTTGTCGGCCAAAGCTTCGGCTCTTGCGAAACCTCAGCTCCGCAGCGATGAGATCAGATTCTGATGATCAGATCTTTGGCTCGGAGCCTTTTTTCTCGCAGCCTCGTCGCTTTGGCCCGAGGGGCAAGAGCTCTCTCAAAGGGAGAGCTCCCAGCTCCGCTGCGGTTGGAGCACTGTGGCTACAGCTAGGGTGAGGCGCCTCACCTGGGCCTTCGGCCATCTTCTGCCTTGACTTTCAACTAGCACTCAGCTTTCCTTCCAGGGCCTGAGTCTCAGTGGCACGGGTCAGAGTTGGAGCGCCTTGGGAGCCCGGCCTCTTGCACGCTGGACTCCCCGCGGAAGGCGGATGGGAACATCCTTTCTTGGGGCGCTGGAAACTTCGCGAAACCGGGGAGGACCAGAAGCCACAAGCTGAGGGTCGTGCTGGCCTGTCTTGCGCAGGTATGAGCGGTTGAGGAGGGCGTAGTACGAAACCAAGGAATGATACCAGATCTTGGTCACAGCAACTGACTTACGAGCACTGACTCTGACCGGAGCATCATGCAGCCTAGCTTCACTGTCTCGTGCCGGAAGGATGTGCCGCATCGCCCAAGACATCACAAAAGTAAGCTCCTTATAGTTGCAAGGTCCGACACAGCACTTTTCCGCAGGCACAAACAAAAAGGCGGCCTCCCAAGATCTGCCCGCCGAGACGAGTCTGCGTCAGGCTAACAAGCCAAGCGTCGCCGGCGTCGTCCACCCAAACTTCTCGACCCAGCTGCCTAGCGAGGAAGAAAGCGGCTGGCGGCTGCATGCAGCTCATGTGAACAGTTCAGCGCACGGTGGCCTGTAAGCGATGCTGGGTGGAAGAGTTGGCACGATATCCCGTGATCCCACGATGCGGAAGGTCTGGGCACAAGAAGGCCGAAGGGCTTGCTAAGTACACAGCCCTTCTTCCAATCCGGCCTGTGGCACCAAGGAGTTGTAAAGACTCCGGAAAGATGCGTTGCCTCTCTCAAGGCTGGGTGAAAAACTAAGGGTAAAGATGTGTGGCCTGCACGTGGGCTGCCAAAGGTGTAGACCTCAACCGGGTCTCTGAAAGGGAAACGCCTGCAGGTGTTCAGCGCCGAAACAAGAACGGCGCGGTGATGCTTTAAACACTTGCCTTGCACTGTCATGTTGGGGAGCTGCACTGAGATCCAACCTGGGAAAACACTCCGTCGAGTCAAATCTGCCTGTCACTCACCCAACCAAGGCTAGTGCGCGAACAGGTTGGCGATGGCACCACCAAGGGAATGTCCTGTTGCCTGGTACTGAGTTTGCGTGTGCCTCCCACACAGCGCATCCCTGCGCTTCAGAGTTGCATCTGAGTGACATATACTCGCACCGGAACGTCCTTCTCGGCCCAATATCGCAATCGTTCCTGAGAATACGCGGGCCGAGGCCTGCATCGCTCTGACGTGCTCCCATGGCGCCTTGAGCTGTGCCAAGACATCCGTGCGCACGGCACCGTAGGCCTTCCCGAAAATCGCAGGAGTTCAATCAGCTCCTGTGACAACACTAAAACGGAGGGAGCTGCGAGGCCTCTGCGAAACCCTTGTGCACGCGGACTTTGTCCAAGGCCTGCCAGAAAAAGGATGACGAGGCCGAGGCCTATCCTTGCCGTAGAGCTGCCAAGACACTTCCAAGCTCAGCTCTTCATCGTCGTCTTCGAAGTCCGAGGGAAGGAACGGGAAAAAGACCCGCGAGCAGCATCTGGGCTTCCACAGAGAAACCGAACTTTGAAGAGAACAGATGTTCCGCACGGTTCGTCAAGACAAGCCACCCGGCCAGTACACGGCAGCAGCCGGACAGCCATGAGTCCGAGTCAGAATCTTGTTCGTCTGCAGAATCACTAGCCCGACTGTCTTGGCGCCCACTTCGCAGAGGTGCCTGGGCTTTGCTGAGTCCACGGCCAAGCAAGACTGCTGAAAACCACACGTTCCACTGCTTGCGACCGACAGAACCCGCGCTTGTGCTTGAGCGTGAGTTGGCGAGAACGGATTCGTTGATCTCGCTTGCATCTCCTCTTGGCTGGAAAGTCTGGCCTTCACCTGCCCAAGAGAGGCTCCCACTCTCTAGCATTCGCGGTTGAAACGTGAGAGAGCACCTTGTCTTTGAGATCGAAACAAACTGGTTGCCTCAAGGTCGCCAGGAACGGGCAATGCTGGCGATGCGAACTTTCCGAGTGATGCTGTGTCAGTTGAGTTTACACGCACGAAAGCCCTGCGACGCTTGAAGACTTCCAGGCTGCAGGCGTTCAACTAAAATCAGCCAAAGTGGCTGGCCGTGCGCGGAGCCGAAGGGTCCCGTCTTGGATTCCTCCGCTAAAGGCCTGCGAACCATCCAAAGCCGGGGTTCCAGCCGAGTTGGCCGCGCTGCATTACGTCAGGAAAGCGCGACGGTGATCCGGCAGTGACACAGACACAACTTCTTAGATTCTTGTCTGTGGTGACCACGGTACGGCTCTATACACAGCACATTCGAGATGCTGTAGAAGATTGTAGAAGCGGGGGCGGCGGGATGCCTTCCGTCTCCTTTAGAGAGATCTGTTTGTAGTACGTAAAAAGCACTTGAGAGGATGATGAAGGCGACGAAGATAAGAGTGCCTCCCAGCCATCATGATGATGATGATGAGGAGGATGATGATGATGATGATACTGATACTGATGATGCTCGGAAGATAACGGAAATGAAGACGATGATGACGATGACGACTACGATGGCTTGGATTCGATGCTTTGATGAAAGCCTTAAAGGCGGCGCGTGGCGCCGCATGTCTTGGACTTCTCAGCTAAGGGGCGTCAACGAGATGCGCACGTCTGTCGCCACGTTGGTCACCTGGTGATGGCAGCCATGATGTTTGCTCGCTTGGGGATAAAACGGTGCCAAAACCCATGCACTGTGCTGCGTGATGAAACGAAACATGTCGGCGCGACGCTATTCGTGCCGCGGAAGGCCACAACCAAAGCGACTTCGTCCGGTCTCTCTGCTGTGCCTCAGTCGCAGCCTTGCTCTGCAGCAAACCAGCGGCCAGCGGAACTTCTAGGCCCAGGCTGGTGGAAGGGTCTGAAGGGTCTGCGGGGCTGGCCGGAGCCTCCTCATCCAGTGGACCCTGATCCTGCGAGCACTTCACGACACACATCAATGCTTGCCATTCATCGCTTTGTTAAGATTGCGGAAGCAAGGCTCGATGCCCGTGGAGCTGCTATCTGCCTTCATTGGCATGGTGGGGCCTCCGTTGCCTCATCGGCAAGACGCCCACGATGCTCGGCGATCCTGGGTTCCGTCAGTATCACACAAAGCTGCATAGCCTCAAAGTGGGCTTGGGCATGTTTATGGGATGCGAGCAGCAGCCACTGCACGTCAAGCTGATCGCAGCTGCCGGACGTCGCGAACCAGACGTTGCGGCGGAGCTCGCCGCGGAGCTCGACACACCTAAAATCGACTGCTGTGCAATACTCTGTGCATCTGCAAACCACTGCGTCCGGAGCTCCCAGGGGCATTCTTGCGTAGATGGGGCCGCAGCCCATTTCACTTATACTTTGCACCATGCCGCTTACCGTTGACGGTGTAGAAACAGCCCCACACTTGATGCTTCGAGTGGCATGTTGGTGTTCGCTGTGTGCTCCTCTGCAAGCGAGTCGAGATTCGCCCAGCATCGACAAATCGGAGGTTCGCTACACCGACAGCACACGCAGCCATCGGAGCCCCTCGCAGTCCTCACCATGGACTTCGAACCACAGGCTCTCCACCTCTCTATGCAACATCACTGGGGGCTCTGCTCTTTTACAGCCCGAGATTTCGGCACCTGGTCCGGTGACCGTGCCGCATCTTGCGCATACGCCCGCCTCGATCTCTCAAATTCCCCTTGGAAGCCCTGCGTGTCCCTGCCGCTTGTGCTGGGAGCAGGGCAGCTTCAAATCCGGATCCGAGGCATTCCCGGGGGTCCAAGTAACCTTTGCCAAGTGCTTCTGAAGAATTGCCACGAGGGAACTGATCCCGCCTCCCAAGTGCCATCGGAGAACAGCAACCGAGCCTGCAACAGATGACCAAGGGAAGCCGTCGCAAGTGCAGAAAGGGCAGATGTTGGGCACAAGAACCTCACCGGAGGTCTGGACGTATTCTGGATGATCATCTTTGTCACGCCCTTCCTGTCCGTTCCATGACTGAGCTTCTCTCCAGGCCCTGTTGAGTTTCAGCGAAACTGAGCCCTCCCATCTCTCCTGGCGGTATTCGCCATTCAGTCGGGCATGACCGCAACCGGTCACGTGGACCACCGCCGGAAACGGGCAACCAAGATAGGTCTCCTCTTACGAATGCTTGGAGGCTTTAACCCGAGGCGTTGTCAGGCGAACTGCGCAAACTCATCTGCGACTGCAAGCTGTAAGCCCTCTACCATCGAGAAGTCGCAAAGTCGGAGAGCCAGGAGGAGGTCAAACTTGCCACGAGTCTCGATTTCGACGTCATGCTCCTTCGCCTCGGCTGAAATCTCGGCATCGCATAGTAGACATAGCATCGATTTCCTGCAACCACGTGGCTGCAGGGGCCGGGCGAAGGGCGATGGCGACGAGCAGCACGAGGCCGCAGCGAAGAACCAGGGCGAAGGAGGCCAAGAAGGCGAGAGGATATCCTTTCTTGGGGATGTATCTGCTTTTAGGAAAACCGGTGGACAACAAGCACGAATAGCCCAACCCCCCGTGTGTCCTATCGGAAGGTTCATGATGATCAGAAACGGTGGTCTGGTCAAGAGGTAGTAGAGGAGATATCGCAGACGCGCTCGACCTGAGGCTTGAATTCTGAAAAGTCCTTCCTCCCCCTTCTGAGTTCTGAATCTGTGAGCCGGCCTGGTGTGCAGGGCAGATTTTCCAAGCATCTCCAATCATCTCGACAGAGTGCGCAGCAGCCGCAAACGCAATGACAATGCCGAGTGCACTTCCTGCACACTTGTCCGACGATCAGCATCGCGCTGCTACAGTGTTCATTGACCAGCCATGCTTTGTCAGTCCTGCATGCTCGCGTAATGCAATAAAAGAAAAGAATGAGGCGCGCGGAATAGCCTGTGCAAGCATATTATGTGCATAGAGAACATGCATGCATATAGTCGACAAAGCAGGAACTACCAGCAGCGGGCCTGCAAAAACAATGGCATGGTCGGAGGCGAGAGGAAGCCTCAGCCAGCGAAGGTCATATCCGAACCACCAGATGTGAATTCTTTGAGTGGCACGCGCAGCTTCCTTCTCATTCATGAAACGGACGAACGGACTATATTCTAACACGAGCCAATGGACGCGAGAAAGTGGAACGGTAGCAGTAGCAGTGGCAGTAGCTGTAGCAGGGGCAGTAGCAGTAGCACCATATGTAGTAGGAGTAGCGGTAACGGTAGCGGTAGCCGTAGCGGCAGCCGCAGCGGCGGCGGCAGCGGTAGCCGCAGCAGTAGCAGTAGCAGTAGCAGAAGCAGAAGCAACGCAGTACAAGCAGGAGTAGGAGTAGGCGTCGGAGTCGGAGTCGGAGTAGGAGGAGGAGCAGCAGCAGCAGCAGTAGTTGTTGTTGTTGGTGTTTCAGTAGTAGCAGTAGTAGCAGTAGCAGCAGCAGTAGCAGTAGCAGCAGCCGTAGTAGCAGTCGTAGCAGGAGTAGTAGTAGTAGTAGTAGTAGTAGTAGTAGTAGTAGCAGCAGCAGCAGCAGCAGCAGTAGTAGTAGTAGTAGTAGGAGTAGGTGATAAACGTAGAAAGTGTGACAGAGGGAGTAAAAGTAACGATCAGCTGCTGCACGTCGGCTTCTCAGACAGTGGCGTGTGCTCATCGGTTGGGCCCCACCAGGTGAGCATCCAGAGAAGCGTCAACAGAAAGTAGCTCCAGCCTGAAATCATGGATTCTATGGCAGATCTGGCAACCGTGGCCGCGCAAGCGACAGTTTTACGTAGTCAGTACAGTTCCACAGCTGTCACTCAGGAGCGAGTATGCGCACAAGGTACAGTAAGACTGATCTCGGCAGCCGACGCCGCCAGCGAGGTACTCGGGTACCTTCTTCACAGCGGAGGCCTGCTTGCTTCAGAGGTGAGGCTTCTAAGGCGGACGGCCCATGGTTGGCAGCAAGCCTGCGGCCGCCCAAAGCCAGGCGATTTGCAGCAGGAACTCCACCGTGGCCCCTGCTCGAAAGGCCACCGACCCGTGGACGAAGGTTATCCTGCTCAAGGAAGTCGAAGACTTGCCACACTGGAAAGATGCCCTGCTACACCAGTCACAGGAAACCCCCCGCTTTTCTCGGAGACCTCACCCGGTGCCTCCAACAACCACGAACACCAGCTCGACTTGTTGTAATGCTTTGACTGGCGACTAGGGCCTACGAAGTGGAACCGCGTGATCCAACAGCAAATCCATATCAAATTCATGAGACTCATGAACTGTCGAACGGCCTGTACACAAAACCGGTTGCCCAGGATTAGCTTCTGTACGTAACCCTTTGCGCGAACTGAACTCCACACACTGGTGCCGGCACTTGCGAGGCTCCTACACAAACACTTGACCTGCGATCTGCATCTTTGCCTTGTTCCAATTATTTCGGGTAGTAAGCCAACCCTTCCCTTGCCTCTGCGAGCGGTCCGGGAGGGTGTGGAAGCTCCGCGCGTAGGTCAGCGCCACACCGGCGCAGGCCAAGACGGCGAGCAAGGAGAGCCAGCCCTGAAAGTTTCGACTCCCAACAGAATTTCGGGCCGTTTAGGGCTTTGGGATGCTTCTTTCTTAGATTTAAGGGATGTCTTTGTTTTTTTAAGGGCCTTTTTCCGCCTTGCAGTTAAGGGATGTTTTGGTGCGTATGGTGCGTCTTCCTCGAAGGCGGTGCCTCTGGCGGTCTGCGCGGGCCGCTGGCCCAGCAACAGGAGCTGGGCCGCTCCACGAGCAAAGCCACCTGCGACTCAGCTGACTGGTTTTAGGGTTTAGGGTTTATTTGGGTTTAGGGTTTCGGGTTTAGTGCTTAGGGTTTAGGGTTTAGGGTTTAAGGTTTAGGGTTTAAGGAATTGGTTTGGTTATGGCCGCCCGGTGACTTCTAGTGTCGAACTCCTCTGAAACTTAGTCCTGCCCTGTGAGTTACGACCAATAGAATCCGAGTCGATATCCCTACTGCGAAACCTTGCCTCCGAAAAGGCATTGTCCCTCTCCCATTCTGCCAAGGATCTGGAAGATAGAGGGCGGCGCAGAGGGCAACGAGGTACTGCAGTATTCCGACGACCTCAGGTCCGCATCTTTGCTTTGAGGAGCTTGGGCTGCAGTGGCTTCTGCTTGTTGCAATCCGCGTGGCTCCCTCCAGGGGCCGCAGCAAGGAAGGCAAACTGACCTGCAGGGACCCAGTCAAGAATTGCTACCGTAAATTTGCTGAAGCTCCAGCACAGTGCCTCAACGGCGTAGATCGCTATGAAGAATGTCAGGGACACTGCTAGCAGCGACCATGGTACGGCAATCAGCATCGCCTGTCTACATCTCGGACTGGTCACAACACGCAAGACCTGAATCCTGCCATGTCCTGCCTGCGCATCCCACTTCGAGAATGCCTGGCACAAGGCGGCACACCGCCCGGCAAGCACCGAGTGACTGCTGAAAGTGCAGCGAGGTACTGAAACTCACGTGCTCGCCCGCCTCCAACCAAGCCCCGCTCGCTGCGTGCATGCGTGGAGTCCGGAAGAGGGTAGTTGCAGGATGCCCATCCTGCGACACGGTGTTTTTCGAGCAAACCTTGGCAGGAAGCACGACGAGCGACGCCTTTGTCATGGCAGGCCTGCCTCAGATGCACGTTCCAGATCTGGTAAAAACCCAATAGGAAGGAAGAGGGCAAGTCTTTAACAAACGCTTTGACTAACCCAGCCGCTGGATCGCGGACTTGCCCGGGCCCCAAAGCATCAAGGCACCATGAGGCATCCGAGGTGCGAATGACTCTGATATAGGGTTACACTTCCTTGGGACGAATACATACTGCCAAATCTCAACCCTAAACCCGAATGCATTGAGATGATATCGGTTCTGGCCTCTCGTAGCGGTGCTTCTGTGCCGACATGGCAGCTGTTGGCAGCACGACGTGCAGTCGGAAGCATGCAAGCTGAACTGCGTCTCAGACACTGCAGAAACTGAGGCCAGATGCTCGCCGACTACGATTCAGATGGCTGGTACATTACCTGGCAAGACCCGCTTTGAAGAGTCTCACCAACCCGGGTTGGCCACTCCGGCCTGACTGATGGTAAGCTGTGCCCTTCAAGGTAGGAAGGGCTCGGGAAGCGTGAAGGCTCGAGCCATCGAAGCAGGATGTCCAGTCTGTGGCGATGCAGATGTAGAGTCTTAGCAGCCTACGCTACAGTAGTATGTGGCTTCGAGTTTTCTTTGCAAGCGCTGAAACGATGGGAAAATCAACAGAAGTCTGTGAAAGCAGCAACTACTGGTGACTGTGACTCCATCGGCAGCCACTCATGTGAAGCGGGTTCCTGGCATCGCCATGATGCGTCTTGAAATAATCCGAGAGCCGTCCCTCCCCGTTCTGGGCCAGGCCTGGAAGGAGCTGCGGATTGTTGATCACTGTTGTCGGCCAGGTCGGCTGCTGATAGCTGCCCCTGTCGACGACATACTGCGCGGGGATTGAAGTCATCTGCGGCGCAGAGATCAGCCTGGTACCTCGGCATCAACGCAACATTTTGACTATCCGGTTCCTCCACACGGCTTCGGCTTCCCGACCTTGCACCGTGGATGCCAGGGCCCCACCGGGGGGAGCCTGGGCCGACCTCGAAAGTTGCATCTTGAAAACCGCCACCCCGCATCCCCTCGCTGACACTCGGGGCCCCGCCACGTAAAGGCTGGTCGAGCAAAGGGAGCGGGCCTGTGAAACGGGACACGGGACCCCGAATCCCCGTCGTAAAGGGAGCCACGAGAGCCCTGAGATCTTGGCGTATACGCCATGTTCGAGGCCTTCGGGTGCGAAGGACGTCACAACAGCCGCAACAACCAGCAAAGTCTGCTTTGCAAGCATCTTTCTGCCAGCCGGCGTGGTCTACTGCCAGAAATAATGCCAGCTATACGAACTTCTGCACTGTCACTTCTGTAAAGTAGGTAGCTTATCAACATCTGTGCTTCAGCGATTTCTGGCAACCGTTTTCTGCAGCCACCGCGGCTGAACACCGCACCATACGGAAGACAAGAAGAGTGACTAAGGCTTCCAACAAGCAGGGACGTTGCATCACTCTCTATTTGCCATTGAAGATCACGAACTCGCGGTGGTTCAAGTAGTCTGCCTTTGCAAGGCAGGTGAAGGTACAGGCACGAGCCTTGCAAAGCTGACCATGCCTCGTACAGAGTGTGTCCGAAAGCGCCCCACTTCACTTCCTCCAACCACTCGTCCTCACTGTGCAGCAGCAACTAACAGGTCCCTCAGAAAGGCTGCGACCCCGTAGGCCCCAGATGCACATGATGTACATGCATCCAGTCCAAGAGCATGGTGACTGATTTTATGCTGTATGATAACTTATGCCCTTATCGTAGACTATCTTATAGTCGATCGTATGTCTGCCCCCCTTTTTGCTCCCCTGGGCCTGGAGCTCTCCACAAACCAAAGCCTCGGAGCCGTCGATTTTCAGCTCGGCCAGGGTCCGGTCCTCACAGGCTGCCATGCTACCCTTTAGGCCTCAGGGTGCCGGTTTATGGTTACCTTTTGGCCTTCGGGCAGGTTTTGAGGGGTGCCCTTAGGGTGTTTCAGGAATGGTTTTAGAGGGTATGCTTCGGGATTGTTGGCAGTTTAGGGTTTAAGTCTGTCGCAGGTACGTTTTCCACATGTTTCAAGCACAAAAGCTGGTGCTGCACTGCAGCACCAGCATGGCACGCGTGCGAAGGTGAGGGACCCCTGAAAGCTGTGAAGATCAATCGAACTCCGGCGGCATGAGCGAATTTCGAATCACCCCGCCCAAGTAACTTACGGAGATGCTCACAACACTCTTTGCACTCTCCCGACCCCCTCGGCACGCGCAGCAAGCACGCACCGCAGGTCGACTGGTTCGGTCACGTCGGATGTGAGACCACCGCCAGAAGTCACAAGCACACTGTATAAGTGGAGTGACAAGCTCGGCAAGCACGAAAGGAGCACAAAGCTCGGGCTCACGCACCGAAAGATAAGCACAAGCTGCATACCCAAACGGTGTAGAACTCAAGGTCCTGGGTTTCCAGGAAGTCTAAGCCAGTGGTGACAAGAAAACGCACCATCTGCGGGCAGTAAGGCTTGCCACAGAAACACAAACTAATTACAGTACCGCGGATTTCTTAGAAGGCCTCGTCGTGAGATTTCCGTGGGGCGTTGCCGAAGCTCGCCGCTCGCTGCCCAGAGGGATGCCCGCGTCCTCAGCACGCGCGTTCAGGCCGACAGCCCCCCCGGAGCCAGACGAAAGACATAGCCTCTCACAAGCCAGCTGCCCGCCCTGGCAGCACCGAAGGTTGCACAGAGTCAGGTTGAGAAGTCGTCAGGTGGACACCAAAGTGCACAAAGCAGGTGTCCCTAAGAGTCGTCAGCACCTTCTTAATACTAGCTCCCTCCAGCCGCACTGGCCCCGAACTGTCTGGTCACTTTTGTTGACACATTGGCCCCGAATAGCTCGCACGCCTTGGCTGCCGCGAAGATGGCCTGCTCCTCCCATTGGCTGGTCTGAGTAGCCAACTCCCGTCACCGAGCACGAAGGGAACCACCACGGCGCCGCTCCATGGCCCTCTTGGCTTGAACGTCGGCCTCGTCGTTCAGAAGCCGACAAGCTCCGGCTCGATCAACATTTCAACTGCCAATGCTCAAACTTCCCCTCTCCACCAAAGGCGCCGGGTGGCTTCCGGTCAGCTCAGACAAGGTCATGGATCCAAGTACTCGCCTCCAAGAGCTGCCCAAGCCTCGCTGAAGATGCTGTTGAGCGAAGATTCACTGAATCCATGTCGATTGCGATCCTGGTGGCACCACTTCTCCAGCCGCGCCCGGGAGCATAGGTTGCCATTGTACCGCGTGACATTGCTATGAGCGGGCAAATCAGAGCGGGTTTTGAAGCACCGGGTACAGCGCCTGCAGGAGCAAGCAGTGCGGAACTTGACACCGATGATCTTCGTTGAGTTCTTGACGCAACGATGCACGGGCCACGTGAACTTGCGAAAGCCCTCGGCCTGACGATGCATGTCATCCCGAAGATGTTTGGCAACTTCACTGTTGAGCTTCGTCACCCGCTGCGCAACACTTCCCTGGCCTCCGGGATTGCAGGGTTGCTTCCACATCTCGATGGTGACCTTCGGGCGGCTCTCCTTCTTGTGCCTCTGCTTAGCGAGAACGACAGTGCTAGAACTCAGTGCCGAGCGGAGTTTGCTTGGAAGGCCGTGGGGAGACAAAGGACAAACCCAAAGCGTAATGAGCACGAAGACCCTTGACCGGAACAATGCAGTCAGTGGCCCAGTGGCCCAACTCCTTATCCCGGGCAGTCCTTCCCCACCATGGTTAGCGTCGACAATAGTTGCCACGCTTCCAACAAAGGTCAGTGTGGTGTCCTTGACGGCGACAACATAGGGGCATAGCTCACAAAGTACTTGGCCGCCTTGCCTTTAAGACCATGCCACTGGCAGCGAAACGCCTGAGAGACCGCCACGTCCACACAGTGCCGGGCTGGGAACGCCAAGTCGAAGAAGCCGGGGGGTAAGTAACTCAGGATTGGCTGCTAGAAGACATTGCTGGCATGGAGGGGCGGCCTCAGAAAAGGAAAAAGTATCCAAAAAAATGCAACTAGAGACAACTAGCCCTGCTACCTTGGCAGGAGCACCCAAGGTCTCAGCCGGCGTAGTATAAGGGCCAGTCAGAACAGCAACCGGCGTGGCAGATCGGAAGGTCTTATTGGCCCCAAAACAGAAGTCACAGGAAGCTGCTTTTCAGTGAGGCAGTGGCGACCCCATCTCCAGTGTCGGGGTTGATGGGCACGAGGTCAGCATCGGCGTTGGCGGCGTGCGCCCCCTTAAAGAAGAAGGCGCGCCCGCCATCGGAACCACGAACCCTCATCGTGGTGACGTCAACAAACGACGCCTGTCAAATCTGCTTGGCCTGCTCCGGGTCAACCGTCATGGGCCCATGCTCGAAGGACCAGATTTTAGGCACTCTGTCATCGCCTCGTGTTGGGGGCAGCCAAACGGTTGCCTTTGACAATCAGCCCGAGATCACCTGCGCACTTGACCGCCCGCGCATGGTAGTCGGCATGATTTTTGTTGCTTGCTCCGGCGCTCGACCCACTCGATCCGGCCCTTGATCTGCATGGATCGCGTCGGGTCTAAAAAACCCATCTTGGCCGGATGTATTGAGGACAACCTCGGCCTCAGGCTTGAGCAGCCGCACCAGGCCATAAAGCTGATGCCCTTGAGCATCTCCCTTCTCGGCTTTCCAAGCAAAGCTATCGAGAGCATGAACATGACGATCAGCAAGCCACTACACGATGCACTTCTGTGGCACCTTCTCGGAGGATTCCCACAACTCCTTGGAAGCAAAAGTCTTGGAGACCCGCGCAATCGCTCGAGCCTTGAGCCAAAATGGCTACGGAGATGCTCACAACGTTGCGAGGGCGAGGACGATTTTGGCCACACGTACTGTATGTGCGTCCCAACCTTTAGAAAGCTTCACAAAGATTTTAGGCTTCAACAACCTCCTTGCAGTAGGGTTGGTTAGACCTCCGGACAGATATAATCTATAAGATGCTCTATATATATATATATATAATCTAATGTTTCAAACACCATGCGACGCTTAAGAAAACAGCCCTCTCTCATCTCTTGTTGACGATGTAAAACACAGAGCCAGGCCACCTCCGTAACCTCCCTTTGCTCGCCGTCGTAGATCACGAGCTTGCCTTCGCAGAAATCGCACACAGGAAAAGGCGGAGGGGGAAAGCGGCGGCGTAGAAGTCTCGGGGTTTCGGGCTTTAGGGCTTTGGGGGTTTAAGGGTCTAGCCGTTTAAGGTTTCGGGCCTCGGGCCGAGGGTTTATGAGGCAATCTGCGGCCTTGCTCGTATGGCGGCATGCGGAATTCCTTGCACTGGTACAGGATGACTTGCCTTGTAGGGCCCGGGGACACCAGGAGCAAGCTTGGATAATAAGAAGGCTTTCATGCAAGCGCATAAGACTTGCGTACGGGGAGCTTTGACACATCAATGCCATGGTCGGTAAAGAGCCGCTTCATGAGGTCCCCAAAGGTGGCATTCCCCCCGAGGGACAAGGATGCTGTCGTCTTCTTGACAACCACCTTCGACAGAGTAAAGAGCTCTTTGCATGCACAAGTCTGAAAGCCAGGCCACCTCAACAGTGACCATGGCTCCGAGGCTTGTTGGTTGCGAATGTTCTGTCTAAATTCTCTGTTTTGGCCGGAGAGAGTGGATTCATGCCGTCCTTGCCACTCGCTACGTACATCTAACAACATTTGACAATACCGCATTAGGTTTCTGGTTTCGCTGCAAGCAGCCTCTGTAGTTCCCCTGTCCAGCCAAAACGGTCCGGCAGATGCAGCTCCGTAAATCAAGTGTCACCCCGTCATGCCAAACAAACAATGTCACAACCAGCATGCACCACGAGAATACCCAGCCTGCCCTATTGTGGCACCGCCTGCAACTCAGCAGACAGAACATCTTTGTCAAACATCCTGAAAGGCTCCGAGGCAGCCACTTCCAGCTCCAGGCAGCGAAGACGTAGAAGGGTTCAAAGGCATCGCCACGCTCGTGCTCGGTATGGAGACAGGTCGGCTGGGAGTCATTGCAGCTGACCTCTCTCCAGTATTCGCGGGAAACACAGTTTGGATTCCATGCCATCTTCCCTGCAAGTACCGTGACTACCTAGCACGAGTCCAAGCAAGAGTCTTCTGGCCTGCAATCATCCTAGACACCTGGGGGTTTCCGAAAATAGGGACCTTAATATAGTTCCCCAAATAGTAGGATCCTTATCAAAAGGACCCTAAAATAAGGTACCCCCATTTTCGGAAACTCTCACCTAATTATTGTCGTCTCTGGGCTGCACGGGCCTCCGTACCGTTCGCGTCACAGCTTACCGGTTCACAACCAATGCGTAGCTTGTACTATGACACAAAGCCCGCGTCCAGAAGAATGGTGAAGACTGGTTCTAGCATAGGTTGTCTGGTGCACAACTCCTGCAGCCGATGGCTGGTGGATGTGGGCGGGCCGACTACTGGAGAGAAAAATGACGACCCGATGATGCTCATGATGGTCACTGAAACGGGCAACTAGATCGGCCACCGACGCTCATGATGCGTGCTGCAACTTGGCGTCACAGTCTCAGCTGCTCATGATGCAAGGGTTCTCGTCGCATCGAAGTGTCCTTTCTGCATCCACCTTGAGTCTCCCGTGTGGGTTCCTTGCTTCTTGTTCCTGGCTTTTCCCGCTTCCAGCACCTTTCCCTGAATACTTTGAAGGATGCTAGAGGTTGCAAGAGCAAAGACTAGAGCTTGGACAACAACTAATGAGCCACACGTACACCACCTTGTTGGTGTCCTCTGGTTTCCGCCCCTATCCCTGCCGACCTCGGAGTCTTCGTAGGACTGACCTGCTCCAGCCGGCGCACCTGCTTTGAGGTATCTCTGCGTGAGCATGCGTGTGTTGTGGTTTGTCTACGTATGTGCGTGCAGTATGTGAGCGCGCACCTGTGCGCTTGCACATGTACATGATGTATGTATATATGTATGTACGTATGTATGTATGCATGCATGTGTATATACATAGGTATGTGCCCCTACATATGTATATGTATATCTACATCTATATCAATATCTATATGTATAGCAATATCTGTAGCTATATCTATATCTGTATCTATATGTATGGTTATATGTACATGTACATGTATATGTATATGTATATCTGTACGTACATCTACATCTAGATGTATGTTTTCTGTATAGGTGTATGTGTATGTTTAGGTAAATGTATGTATATGTACATATGCATGCATGTAGACGTGACGTTTAGCTAAGCAGCTCTGGACCTTACCTGTTTGGCTGGCCCATGCTCGATCTACCGGCAAGTACATGCGGTCATCTTGCATTCACCCTCAAATGCACCCGCTTGTTCTTATGCCATAGTCTCAAAGCCGGGTACATTGAAATAGACCTAATGCAGTCGTCTGCAGATTGATCAACACGCACTGCCCGAAAGAACTGGCACACGCTCATAGTGCCCTCCCCCCGTCCCGCCCCGCATCCCCCGGGCCACGCCCCAATGCCCAGGTTGCCTCCTCCTGAAGCTGCAGCTTTTGCTGCTGTAGAGACATCTGCTCATCCAGACCTTCCTTCACCTGCACTGGGCTCACTTGTGCGCTCAAATCTATGCCCCGGGCTTCCGCTGCCAAGCTTCTAAAGCGAACAGCGAAGTCACCCAGCCTTCGCGGTGGCATTGTCGAGCATCTGCTGCAGCTGCCTGTTCTCTGCCTGATGCTTCAAGAGACAGCTGCCCAAGACTCTGCCACTGCTCGACGACTGCTCTTTACAAACATCTTGCAGCAGCGATTAGATCCGCTTGGCGGTAGCAACTCTGAACTTCTCGTCTCTGCAGGATTGCCTGCAGCTTGGCAACAACATCCTGGCACTGGGCATAAGCTGCATGAAGAAAGGAGCATGAGCTGCAAGCCGGGTCCTGGCCCGTACTGTCTGCCTGAAGCTGCCTCCGAGAATTTAAAGAAACCGACGTGGCAGTCTTCTGCTTTCTTTCTGCCTCAGCTCGCGGTCTCGCTCGGTGGCCACCGCTGACATGTGGTCAATCTCCGAAGCCTTCTGCACCTGTCAACATCACAGAGAAGCTGAGATCCACCCCAAAGCCAGATTCCCAGACGGGCCTTCAGAGTCTCAAGCTGCTTCTCGCGGAGGCGCAAAGATGCCTCACGCTTTCGGAAGGCACAGGGTCGGCGGATGCTTGGAACTTCCCCTTTGAAACATGCAAACTGGGAGTTTCCGGAAAACAGGGGACCCTAATATAGTACCCGAAATAGTAGGATCCTTATTATATTACCATATAACCATACTACAAGTTCACTCTATTTGTAGACGACTATGTTATTCTATTTCGTTGTTACTGTGCTACTGTATTACTACATTGCTGTATTACCAGATCACCTTGCCAGTATATTATTGCTATACTATCATACTATCATATGATCACTATTACCAGTATGTTAGTACATGGCTTGGGCGGGATCCGACCCCAGCGTTTTGAAGCATTTCCAGGGCAGGTATGGTCCTTGCAAATGCCATCCTCTATGATGCCATTACAAATACAATGTAGAAACTTTTTCTCTGCCAGAGCTATGGTTTGATTGCTGAATGATCTTGCAGTGGAGCCAAAAATGTGTGTGCGTACATATGCAGCTATAGCTATAAACATATACATATGTATGCACGATTTGAGAACAAAAACCAGATTCGTACGTGAGGGAACACGGCACACCTCTACCTATCTGCCTGTACTTGATTAACATCATCTTGTGTTCTTCATTCCCAGTGTTTCGCAAAAGAAACAAGATTTTCGCTCGTTTACACTCATCGCATGTCTCTTTCACTTGACACCTAAAGCTGAAACTTCAAATTACACCTAAGCAAACCCTCAACATAAAGCGGGTAAAATCGAAATGCACCCATATGCTGAAAAGAAACAATAAGCCCATGAGAGGAAAGCGCGCAAACATTGAGTCTAGAAACGTAACCTACTGGTTGTTGATTTCGTCATTGTATGCCCAATAGGGAAGGAATTCGAGATGAAACTTGAATTGTATGGTCAAACTAAAACAGTTTGTCTGACTATAACACCTGCGAGAAGACATAAAATAACTCCAATATGAGGTTGTCCTGCCAAAGAAAGCTGGCGAGCCGATATACCCTTTCATTGTATGTATATAACCAGCTTTGTAAATTCAGCGTCAAAACTGAAAAGTCGAACACTCAATCCAGGTAACCTTCGTACTGTGACCTGATACAAAATATGCGATTCTATCCTTATCACAACCACTAAAGCCAGACTTGGCTAATTTAGAAAACCATTTACACTGTAGTTCAGGCTTCATACATGACACAGGATGATGTCAGCTGTGTATGAATACGTGTGTATGTATGTGTGTATATATATATATATATAACTACCTTTGAATATCTGTATTTATGTAAATATTACGGCCGGGAAACATTGTCTTCCTCTGGTAGGCAAGTCAAACCCAATCACAACTTATTATAGAAAGATGCAAACAGTAAACAGTAAGCGGCATGGATGATTTCATGGAGTTGCGTGTCTTCACAGATTCAAAGCTTGCCGTTCGGGATTTTTGTCGAAAAATTGGAGGTTAAAACACGACGGCCCGAACGCACGGCAGAAACCAGTTCAGCAAAACCAATGAAAGCCCAGGTCAGTATTACCGCAGGCCAAAAGGCCACATAATCGAAAGCAAAAACAAAATTTATGGAAGTTAACCGGAATCGGTGGTCAAGTACTCTGGACTAAAACTTGCTGAACATTTGCTTGTGGTCGGTTGTGGTACTTTTTGGGCTGCGTTTTTTTTGTTGTGGGCAATTTCGTGTTTTTTCTTTAGCATGGGTGTCTTTAGTGTTTGCTGCTTGCGTATTTGCTGTTTAGATCTTCCGTCTTAATTTTCGTTTGTGTCACGGGAGAAGCTTCAAAGACACTGGGGTCGTGATTATGCTTAGAACCCATGATATTATCATCTTGCTATGTAGCTATGTTCATATATCACTGCATGGATATCTTGATCCATTATCTTATTGTGGATGTTCCATATTACTGTTAGTATATTAGTGTATCATAATGCTATGTTATTACGTATTCTGTGCACTTCTATGTATTGCAATGTTTTGATGTGTGTATATTATTTCGGTGTGCTTGTTTGATGTACAGTTCTTATGTCTTATATATATATATGTCATTCTACGACTATTTCGATACATTATGATGAGATTAGCATGTTGGGCTGAGCATGCAAACCAGGCATGCCTCCAAATCAGCAGAGCGTTGCGCCTCATGTCAGCATGCTTGCCATCGTCTTAATCGTTTCGAACTCAACACACACACACACACACACGCACACACACACACACACACCTCCGCAGTTGCTCTTTGCTCCCACTTCTGGGCAGCGGCCTGCATTGACTCATGAAGTCTATGCAAGCATCTCCGAAAAATGCCCCGATACGACAACATGCCAGCTGCAGAGCAACGGTGCCTCGCTGTCGACGATCCTCACTTGGGCCTCACAATCCAGCCCAATGCACAATCAGCTTTACGGCCCGAGGTGCAGTACTGGACATTCTCCCTTGATCACAACCTCAGTCGAAGCTGGGGCAACGGGGACAAGACCTTCGTCATTTCCTGCTCTCGCTGCTCGTCCAACATCTTCAGCTTGGTCGCGTGTTCGCTGACGGCCTGGCTACATCTCGTCCCACAGAAGGCTTTGTCTGCTTAGGCTGGGCAAATCTTCGGCTATGAATATGTTTTTTTCGCCGCAGGTGGGACCGCCAACTCATGGCGCTGCAGAGTCCGTGGAGCCATAGGCATGTGCCCTGTGGTCCGAGTCCTTGTGGTGCGTCAAGTGGGGCCTCCGGCAGCAGAGGCACCAGCCCAAACGACACAGCACAAAGGGACGTAAGGCCCCGGCTGCAGAACGATTCTGGTGTAGTTTGACCTAGGCTTCACATCTCATCTCAGCACATCTCAGCATGTCAGGCACCAGCGACAGACATCGAACTCACTGACTTGCAACAAAGTCGCGAGAGAAATACCATCAGCAACGTCTGTCCCAGGACTAAGAGGCAGGTGCCCGTGGCCAGGCGAGTGAAGCCCGCAGTGGCGTTCGAACTGCAGGGAACAGGAACAGCATACTCTAGGCTCTAGGCAACTGGGGCAAGCAAAGGACAAGGACAACCCACGCGTCTGTTGGGCTCTTCCTGAACCCTCCTCTTTCTCTCCTAGTTGGCCCTCCCTTGGCCTGCAAATTTGGTCGAAGGCTTCCAGCGAAATCTTGGTGCCCGTCAGCAGCGAGACTGCCTCGATGACGGAACCCATCACAGACCTCAGGCCGCAAGCTGCATCGACCTGCAAGACCAACGAGGAGGCGCTGGCAACGCCGAAGAGGAGCACCGTGTCCTGAGCTTCCACGCATTGCTCTGAGGAGGGAGGAGGCCACTGAAGCTCACAGCGTTTTCTTACAGACTTCACCAGCCACGAACGTTGTGAGATCATTAAATCGATCTGCTTTGCAAACCCAGAACATGCGATGCGGCTGAGCCGCGATCATCAACATCGCCAGGCTTCCGGCCAGTATCAGGCTAAGTGCGCAGCGCCCCAGCAAAAACTGAAAGCACGCGGTGCAGCAGTAGTCGGCACGACTAAAGATCGTCTCCCTTGTCTTGCCGGACGCCAGGAATGCTGCCAGCACAGAGAGAATGTTGAAAATCTTAGCAAACGAGCAGCATCAATCCGAGTGTCTGTTTCGGACGGCCTATGAAGGAAGTACGGGGTGACTGAGCTGCAGACCAAAGCCAAGAAGAAGCCGATGCCGAGATCACCCAGCAGACCCGTCAGGGTGATCAAGCCCATCTGGTCCAATGCCACGATGGACTGTGTTCTCCCGGAGACTGCAAGGCCATAACCGGTGAGGAAAAGAAAGAATGCGGCAATGCTCGGGACAGGAATACTTCTGAACATATCATACAAGCATTTGAAGCAGCCGCCAAGTAGATCCAGGCAGCAGCCACAGTCGCACATGGCGCCGCCGGCAAGGACTGCCAAGACGGACGGTTCGGTCTCGGATTTAGTTGGAACTGCTGTTGACGGCCTCGACCTCAACTGCAGGTCTCGAGCCAACAGCTACGGCTCTAGCTCCTGTGACCTGTTCATCACAGAACATCATGTACTTTGACTTGGCAGTAGCCCTGTGTTTGACCTCGCCCGCCCACGCCCCAGAAGAAGGAGACTTGGCCTGGAGCTTGTTGGTCAAAGCAGCCTGTTCACCTGACCCGCTTTGCTAGCTAATGGCGAAAGGCACGGGACGCTCGTTCGCTTGGTCCGGCGCCGGTTGACTTCTGAAGCCGGGCCACTTCAGCGTTGAGCCTCTTGGCGTCTTCCTGGCAGAGGGCGTGTGGAGAGCCACAGTTGCAGGATTTGCCCCACTCCGACATCTACGGTACAAGCCAACCCGTACCGGATGCGCGGGTTGTCGCAGCAGCCTAAGGAAAGCCAACTCCACCTGTACATGTTTGCTTCGGGACGGACACAACCAGCACACGGTCACATCAAACATCAACATCTGCAGACCTCTTGTCACGACGGCGCAGCCAACAACTTGTGAGTCGACATGGATTTCTGGCAAGAACAGCTTTGCCTCCCTTTAGAGTCCACTCAGGCATCTTGATAGAACTCTTTTTTGGATCACGGGTATGCACACTGGACGGAAAATCCTGCTGCTACATGACATTTTGGGCAAAACACCTTGGGCAAAAAGCAAACTAAACAGGGTCACACATGAAAAATGCACCGATGACCGAGATCCTGCTCAACGCCACAAGCACCTGATGAGTAGGGTCATATGACCAACATACCCCCCCCAATCAAATGATCATGCGATGCCAACTCAGCACCCAACAAGCAGGGCTACGAAGATGGACACGGCGTATGCCCATATGACAGACAGCGAAGTAGCACATGCGGCATAGCAGCGCAAGCACTTGATTTCTCCTCTGCAAACAGCTCCAGCACGTCTTCAGCAGTAACGGGATGGCGAGTCAACGAGCTTCCCAGGCCCTCCAGTAACGCCAGGCCAACGTTTGCAAATCGTGCCAAACATGCCGCCACACGCATATCGCCTGGTCCACAACGGAGCTTCTCAACACATTCGCGCCACTCTGCCCCACGCAGAGCCCGCACCACACCGGCCGAGACGATCATGCCAAGCCCACCGACCGGCCAAACTGCCAGCGGAAACTCGGCTTCTCCCCAGGGTATCGGTGCGGCAATGCGTTCTTGGAGCAAGGCCCCTCTCACCTCCTTAGGGCTCGGCTGCTCTGCATGTCCGATGCCGGCGCGAAGTAAAGCTTCTCGTGCCTCTGGCAAGAAGCCGCCAGTGACTCTGTAATGATATGGCATGGACTCGTCTTTCACCACCTTGCACCAGGTACCCACACCCTCCAGAGTTGCAACGCCGCAGTAATGCCCTGGTCGTGCCAAACACCACCTTGCAGTCAGTGGCCACCGCACGATGCCTTCAGGCATCTTCAGGGGAACCCAGCACTTCTCATGGGATGTCTTCGGAGAGGCTTTCGAGTCAGAAGCGCAGCTGGCAAAGGGAATCTGTGACGGTTGGCCGAGAAAGTATCTTGCATCCGAGTCGAAACCGGACAGGACTTCTTTCAGCTCGCGCAGGAACACATAGGTGTCGTCATCCACTAACATGTACCACTTTGCCAGTACTGCCTGCGACAAGTAGAGGAGTGCTGGTACGAATCTAGCTTCACCATGGTTGTTGTGCAGCGGATCATCTGCATGCTGGGAATCATCCGGCACATACACGGTGCTCAGGGTCGGATCCGAGCTATTGCTGAAGAACATGACTGACTCGTTTGCCAGCCAAGTCTTTCGTGACAGCTCTAACCTGTCATGATTGAAGGCATGTGAAACGACTCCCACGGCCAAGATATCTTCCGCCTGCATCAAGCTCATGCTCAAGCTGAGCAAAAACGTCCATCTTGCAGGCACTCTCTCATGATGAGAAAGCGAAAGGACACATGGAAGGCAAGCCAGGGGAACAGCAACAGCAGACTGCGCAACCGCCATATTTTCGTGCGGGTGCCAGTGTCATGTGAGGCTCCTGTCAACTAGGGTGCTGCTGATCCAGAAAGCATATCAACGTTGCCAGGGCACTGCGTGAAACTGAAGGGTTCATCATCGCGGCATGCTCTTGGCTTCTTTTCTTAGAGTCTTAGCGTTGAACCCTAAACCCCTTTGTTTTACTGTCAGCGCCTTCGGAGTTGGGTCTCCAAGGCTCTCCGAGCGAAAGCGGAACACAGTCCCAGGGCTTGGATAAACGGCGGCATCGGGCCCTAGCGCCTATGCCTATGCCGGGAACCCTCCCAGAAACCGAAGCCGAAGCCCAAAAACGAAGGTGGCCTGCAAGGTTGCCGCTTCGGTTGTTCTCTGTTGCAGGGCCTTGTCTTTCTCCTGGGCGTGGGCCACTTGAAGCAACTTGAAGCTTCCTGTTCGTGTCTGGTCGTGCTCCTGCAGGGAGCCCTCGAGCTGGACAGCGCGATCTGCCTGGAAAAAAGGAAAAAAGAAGTGGCACAACTACGACGCAGAGGGGCTGAGCTCGGGGCATGGAGCCTCGCTCCTGGCTGGGCAACTCACAGCTTCAGCGCTCAGAACTAGCAAACATCCCGGCATTTCGACCAGATCTCCTGCATGCGCCTTTTCACAAGCTGCTGCGAGGTCGATGTGTTTCCGCTCCGCCTGCCAAAGCGAGCACACCCTCGCGATGATCATACAGTATCACTTGCTTTCCGGTGCCTTTTCGCAGGTCTCCTTGAGAGCCAGACTCGATCGACGGGCCTCCGGGGCTTTCACGAAGTCTCGCCGGAGCTCGGAGGAGACATGAGGAGACGCAGGACAGGCGGCCTCCTGGACCTCCTGCTCCTTCGCAGCCAGGGCAGCTTGCAGCTCCGCCAGTTGCTTTGCTTGAGCCTCAGACATCTCTTAGTGCAAGATGTCACATAATCTTACTGGAACGAAGACGACGCCAAAGTGCGCGCCTCCAGCCGCTTCTGAGCCTCGTCTTTGCCCTGCGAAGACCTCCGGCGAGCAGGCAACGCCCCGGACGTTTCCACACGCGCGACGTTCATCGGACTGAGGCGAAGTCTGCACGATCACGTCTGGCTCGCCCTCTCGGAAGCTCACTTCCTCACGATCGCTTGGAGAAGTGCATTTTTTGTCATCTCCAAGCCTAAAGCCTGGGTCTCGGAAGGTCTCGGACCTTCTTGCCCGTCAGCAGGGGCTGGGACCTCAGCGGGTCGAGGCTTCGGAAACATCCAGGCATCGCAGACCCTGCAAACACAAACGCCATTATATAGGTTAGCCTGTTATAGCGAGACCACTCACTCCGGGAACCCCGGCAAGTCGGCACTCTGCGAGGGAGCCTCCTGCACAGAGTCAGTCCAGGGTTGCGCGTGCAGACATGTGGGTGGTTGTCAGAATTATGGCCCCTTTTCGGGTACCCTAAATATTAGGTGTCCTATTATAATAAGGACCCAAAAAGGGACCAGAATTTTGACAACCGCCCATGTGCAGACATGAGAGTGAAGTCACAATGACTGCGTATTGCGTGCAGAACATGCAAGCTTGTGTTGGTGACTGTGGGGCGGACCGCATCATGAAGCTCACGGTGCTCCGTCGAACCGTTCTCGTGATCATTGTGGCTGGCGTGATGGGCTTCCTGCGGGAAAAGATCGGAAGATCAGCTTGCACTGCCAAGGGCCTATGTCTTAAGCATAACAGAAGCATTCCGACCTAATGACTTTCTCAAGTGTCTCCAAGAATCCCGTGCTCGAAATTAAAAGGCACAGAGTGCAACAGCGTCAACAATGCAGGCTTTAGCAGACTTGGTGGCTGGTCCTTAGGATCAGGGGTGGAGGATCCGCTCGACTGCCCGGTCAAAACTGTTCGAGCTTTGGTGGGTCCTTCTTGTACTGCAGCGTGGTCGGAAGGATGTACCACTTCCATGCTGGAACCACCTGAAAGGTGCATTCGCCTTGAAAGGGATCTTTAGCTTCTCTGCTTGGGCCCTCTGCCATGCTCGCCAGGATGATGGCAAGCAGCAGCGTGATCACCGGCGGAGCGAGGCCGAAGGCCCGCTGCTCCGCAAGGCCTCGAAAGAGCAGCCCGAGTCCACCCCAAACGCGCACAGGAAGACCGGCGCAAGATGCGAGGGTTTTGCTCAGTCATGCAAAGAGTATACATCGATTGTTCCACACAACTTGAAGGATGATGTTACCGTTCTGTCGTCGCTTGGTTTCTCCTCGCTAGAAGCGAGACTATGCTCAACGAAGTCGTTTGCAAACTGCGAGTCATCAAGGGGAGTGAACTTTATACCGTGCTTAACAAGAATCAAGGATCCATCTGCCGTACCCGGCAAAAGTACCCGGCATGGTCGGAACGTCCAGGGAGACGTCCAAGCAACATTCGGACATTCGCTATTCGCTGCATAAACCGGGAGGCCGGACCTCCGACGGCTGCATCGAAGCTGCGCTCCCAGGAGAATCCAATCAAGATACCCAAGGAGGTGATGAGGGCACGCCTAAGAGAAGCGGACTTAGTAGCAGTCTAGAAGTAACTCCCTCCCTCTCTCAGGCTGTGTCAACGCGGCGTCTACCTGGGAAACCACTCATGGTGTGCATAAGACCTCTCCAGTCACGCAAAAAGCGCCTCATCATCCGTGAATTCCATGTCAGCAAGCTTGTCCAGCACCTGTGTTGAAACAACAGCTTGCTCCACTCGAGTGTACCTATTGCAGAGGCTTGGGCGAAGATCAAGCCAAGAGCCAAACATGTCACGACCTCGTGCTCATGAACCGACCATCGGGATGCACGCAAGATAATCACCCAATGCAAAACCAGACGCCTTATCCCTGTACGTCACTGGGCACTTGGCGACAGCACAAACAACAGCGGAAACAGCTCCCTCCTGCACTCTACTTAGTTGCATCATGCACGAGGATCGACGGACATGTTCGCCCGGCTCGAAAGTCATCTCACATGAGTTTGTGTTTCTTAACCCATGTCCACAGCCAGGTTGGTGGTCAGGAACCAGTCCACCGCGAAGTGCAAACTCCATGCCTCGCAGAATTCTGTGTCAGCCCTTCCGAGCGAACGGATCTGCTGATGAAACGTGCCGGGCGAGCGGTGCACATAGCACAAATGTCCCGAATCCACACGTGGTTGAGGCGATCCCAAACTGAAGGGTCTTCCTCGCACAAGGCGGGCTGAGGACATCGAGCAAGCGCTGACTCCCTAGTTTGAGAAGCCCCAGCCAAGAAAACCAACACTGAGACTAAGTTGCAGATTGTCAGTGTCGAAAAACATGCTAAGACTACATGTCAAGTGATCGACGCAGTAGGGCCTTGCAAGAAGTGCGAATTCGAACTCAGCCAGCCGAGTCCTTCTCACCATGAGCGGCATGGCCCGCGTGTCCATCAGAGGGGCTTTGACCGAGAGCCTTTCGGATTGCCTTTCCTCGGGTTCACAGTACACAAAGCCAAATCGTGTCTGTAGTTCTCTTTTTCGGCCTTTCATTCGATTGTTCTCGATCCTTTCCTGGCCCTCACATCCTTCAAGCCTTCGTCTTGCTCGCAGCTTGGGCCGGAACCAGCCGTTCCATGCGACTCGCTTTCGTCAGACCCTCGGGGGTTTTTCGAGCTTGTGCCCTGCGTAGCAGCGCTGCCAGGCGTGGAACCGCGCCGGAATGCGGCAGCCAGGTGAAACAGCTGCCGGCGACCCACTGCTCTCTCCACTTCACAACCGTGCCGTAAATCATCGTTGTCCTGTCCTGGGGAGTGGTCACGTTGAGCGTCTTGCAGGCTGTTGTACCAGAAGTGCAGAACAACAGCACGCTTGAGGTGAAGTGGCCATCTCTTTCTTTCTCTGTCCATTGGTATTCGTTACATCTCATTCCTTGCCTTTTCATTGCTCTCGTGTGCTGTAATTACAGCAAGCTTCAGGCTTCTTCTGTTCGTACTACTCCCAACCTCTTTGCGCTCGTCTGACCAGTACCGCGTTTTCTCTTGATGTTCTCTTACGCATGTACCATCACCTGCTACTCCCGAACACATCAACTATTCATGTAAAATCGTGGCTACAAGTCTTGCCTTTCGAATCGTAAGTAAAATGTTCTTTGTGTTCCATTCTTGTGACTATGTTATGTTATTCGAGTGCATGCTGACTCAGCTTTCCAGAAGTCTCAGCTACGACCCCCTCCGCTGTGGTTGAACTAGACGGTGTCTTGCCCGTTATGCAGACAGACCCATCCACGCTCGCTCTCAGGGGCGAGCGGAAGGTGATCTTGAAAATCTCGAAGCATCCAAAAGCAGCTGCAGCTAGAAGCAGCATGCCCTCAGTTCTGCTCCCTTTACTTCTTCCCTCTTCCGTCCGAAAAACTGTCGGAAAGGCTTGGCTTCTGGCACATTCGCCGGTTGAGTGCTGCGTTCCCTCCTCATCTTCTCCCTGCAACAGCCACCAACTGCGTCGCGCTGTTTTTTTGTGACAAGCAAAGACTTGAGTGTTCCCTTGCCTCGGAATTGGGTAGCTGGCCACTGATACTAAACCGGAGAACCTGGTAAGCAGCACCTACGTCTGACCTTCCAGAAGTGCAAAGACAGGCCTGGACGAGCAAGAAAGAGACGGCCAATGCCATGACATCATCTTCTGTCTCGGCAACCTCTTCGTCCCACAGCTTCTCCCACTCATCCTGGCCGTGCCGCAACACAGGAACCGCAAACTAAACTAGACTGTGGCGGCAGACATGGCAGCCTCTTCGTCGTCGGCCAACGTCTTGTACTCTCTCAACGTGTCAGTGCCAGCATAGATACCTTTCATGTGGGCGATATCATTCCTGATTCGTGCATCGACCATGTGGTTTATGCTGAAGCTGCACAGAGGCAGGCACGACAGCGAATTGATGCTTCAAGGCATGGAAACACATGCAAAAGATGGAATGGTCGCAGAAGAGGCCGCAAAATGGGGCGAGAGACGAAAGACAGGTAGGCAATTTCAAAGTGATGATATGTGCCTTCGCACTCAGCGCGGAAGCGAGCCAGGCACACACAGAATTCCAACGAGCGTAATCACTGGCACAAGACCACACCAAACCAGGTTTCGCGGAACGGCCTGCACAAGACATGCGCACGTGGCAGCCGGACACCTGCAGCTCCAACCTGCTGAAGCGTTCCCCATGCGTTGATTGCCGCAAAGCCCGTGATGTGGCCAAGAAGTATGGCATAGCACTCCACATTCGCCTCGACTGCCTTGTGAACAGAATCTGTGTGCACGACACTGGCTGTCACTAGGTATTTGTCGCTGGACGGCCTCAAAGTGCTCTTTTGCTGAGTTTTCTCGCTGCAGCTTCTTCCGGAAGTCCGACATTGATTCGGTGGCTGCAGCCCTCAGCCATGCGCAGCTAGAAACAGCCCAACAGCATGCACACATAGTTGCCGCATCCGGGATCTAAGATCCGAGGTCGGGGCGACATGATTGACAGCCTGTGCTTCCCAACCTCATCTAGCTATGCTATGAATACATTTGCTGCGCTTGGAGCTGCAACTTCTCACACACGAGTTGTTCAGAGTCACTAAGTGCTGGCCTCGTGGTGCTCCCCTAAAGCACCCGAGAAGTAAGCCAACGTCAGCTGCAAGATCACGAACCACGCCGACATGTGCATCTGGGAGGCAGGCGCAAGCACACCCCGACATATCCCGAGAGCTGCACCGCCAAAGTGTGCCACATCGTAAGGTCTGCACCATGTCGATGACCAGCTGATACCAGATCCACAAGTCCTCCAGGATGTAGTACTCAAGCACCTTGTTGCAAGCCTGCGATCAGCAGTGCCATCCGACGAGGATACTTCAGCCCAAGCTCCCAAAGAAGAGCTGGTACACTCGCTGAATGCCTGGAAGAGCAAGACGGCCGAGAAGATGGATATAGTTGAACTGATCACCTGCTAGAGCAGGGCAACCCATGTGTCTACGTTGAGCTGTCTTCGATCTTGTGAAGGGCGTGCTTCAACTCGGAGGGCTTATTTGCAATTAAGATCCCTCTTCACCCGTCTGCTTTATGAACCACGATAGAGAACAGCTCTAGCAACGCGGCTTTTCCGGCTTTGTTCGACGTTGACTTTGGGCCCTACCGAGCTCGATCGTGCAGGATTCCTGGCAACCTGTCCTTCAGCATGTCGGCTACTCGACTACTCCTGTTGAGTCCTGTTGAGTGACTTGAGTTTTGGGGACGGGGTGGCAAATACCGTGCTACCGAGCCAAACCATCTCAGAATCCCAGCAACGGAGAAATCGCTGCCAGCCCACAGCATGCAGCACTGCGGAGATGTCAATTAGCTGTGTAGCATGGGGCACACATTGCCTCCCAAGAAATCCGCTTGATGTCCTCATCCGGCCAGTTTATGAGATAGAAGTTGGCCATCATGAAGCCCATCTTGGAAAGAAGCCAGGTCTGCTGCAGCAGCCATCAGCAGGCACACAGGCATTAAGTCAAGGAGTCACACGCACATGACTGCAAAGAGGTCACTTGTTGCAGCTGAAACAAGGACTATCTGCAGACTTTCGTGACGCGTCTCGGGCCCTGGCGCATCCCAAAAGCATCATCGAGATGCAGATGTCCTCAGTGGTCTTGATCTTCACCTCTTCAAGCTCGAAGTGTTGCTTCTCCGTCACACCATGAACAGTCTAACCAACAAACATGCCCGCCTCTGTTTGATGCTCAAGTCCTTCCTCGAGTTTATGCAGCTCTTCCTTCCTGCCCTGGCACAGGACAGGGTCAGACTTCGACAGCGCAGGAGCCAAAGGGATGGCGCCGCCACCGTCGATTTCTGAAATGGTGGCGCCATGTGTCCCACTTCGCAAAAAGGGCTTCAGCCTCTGCCCTTCTACCGTATCAGTATTGCTTTGCCTCATGCTGATGAGATGGTGAAGGTGATGAAGAGGAGGAGGAGGAGGAGGAGGAGGAAGGGGGGGGAGGAGGAGGAGGAGGAGGAGGAGGAGGAGGAGGAGGAGGAGGGGGGGGGGAGGGAGGAGGAGGAGGAGGAGGAGGAGGAGGAGGAGGAGGAGGAGGAAGGGGGGGGAGGAGGAGGAGGAGGAGGAGGATCATCAGGACAACGATGATAATTCATGATGATCATCGTGACAATGGTACGGTGTGACATGTGAAGGGCCATATGCCACGTGCTAGTGGGGCTTCGAAATGCGGCGGTCGAACTCACAAAGTAGTGAGCTGAGGAACAGGCCTCTGCGAAGTAGACGGGCGGTTCCGGTCCGCTGACCACCTCTCAAGGCGATCTCTCTCGGCACAGGGCTAAGACGAAGATGAAGTTGTATAGGGGCCTCAATTAGAATAGGGGTTTGGGCCCCAGTATACTATAATGATGATACGACTAAGGAACCCCGACAACAATTGGGAGGCGGCCTCGAGCTCGTTGGAGGCAACGGAGGGACATAGCGCTGCAATCAACCTCAGTGCACACTAACATGGCCACTGTCAGTCTCTGGTTCCTCACGGCATTTCTGAGAACACAACACCAGCAGCAGAGGCTTGAAGAAGCCTTCAAGCAAAATCTTCAAGCTCCATAGTTCCTGACTGCAGCTACGGGTGAACCAAGCCAGCTCGGTGCATCACCGTGCGAGCGCGATGAAAAACCCCGGCACTGGCACTTCATGTCTGGGACGCAGCCGAAGTATTCTGCGAAAAGAGATACCGGGCTCCGGTCTCTGGTGACGTTTTTGTTTGATGCCAAAATGAATACCAGGTTTGGCTCATGTGGTAGTCGTGCCTTCCAAAAGCTTACTTTCACGGCCATGAGAAATCCATCTTGGACCAAATATGAGCAGAAAAACGCACCAATCCGACATAGCTCAACTCCTTGAGGCCAGCATCCGTCACGTTGCCAGTGCATGCGCTCGAACCTTTTGCCTCTGATGCTGGAGGATTTCACGGCCGAGCCCTCCAGGCAAAGTCCGAGGTCGCCTGAGGCGCGCACAAGTAGCACCAAGGACTCTCTAAAGAAGACACGAAGACACAGGATGCTGCGGGATGCTGTGGAATGATGTTGTGGGCCTGAGCCTGTTGGCCGCTGCGTCTCGACGGCCCCTGCCTCATCCGGGTCTGCGCTTCTACCGGCCCAACACCAAGGTTCTCCGCCGCTTGCAGGGTCAGAGGCCCAGACAAGCCATGAAACAGGCTGCTCCCTGATATCACAGAAAGGGGTATAGTCATAGACTCCTGACCTCTCTCTGGTCTTAAGCCACTGGCCCGGGCCTCCCGGTCGACATCGCCCAAGCCCGTCCGCTGGGTTTCTTTCGGCGGGTCAGGTATGTGCGACCTGACAGCGGTTTGCAGCTGAGGCAGACGACAGCTTCAGAAAGTCACACATCAGTCTCTTCAGGTTCAACTCTTGACCTGCCTCGTGCCTTGACCCTTCAACAACTCAGGGGCAGACCTCGAGGTGCATCATTCGACGGTGAATATCTCAGATCTGGCGAAATACAAAAATCGGCAGACCTGACACAATGCAGCACTTTCATGAGGGCAGTCAGGGAAGGGGTGAAGTTGTGCAGCACTGACATCGTTGAAGTCTTCAAAGCGTACGAGGCCCCCACATAGTTGGAGTTGGGCCGGGCAAGGCCTGTTAAACCCAAGATGTCTTCGAATGCTGCCAACGAAATCATCTTATGGGATTTCGTGGCAACCGGCCTGCGTGCCGGTGATCAGGAACATGGCATCAGCTGGCCCAGTCCTTCAGTACTCCAGCGCTATCTGGTTGACACTTAAGCCAAAGGCTCTTTGCAAAGAGTCGCCGTCCTGGAGACATCCAGAGGACTTGGCCGACCGGCGACTGCGACTCCGTCAACTCCGGCTCCCTTCCGGTTTCCACTCTGTGTTAACGAGAGTCCTCCTTGCCCCCCCGGGCCTTCGAAGGAACTTCGGCCTTCCTTCTCCTCTGCACAGGAGTCTGAGATCCAAGCGCAAAGGCTGCCGGATGCGACTGCTGCGAGGGCACCTCTGCGGTGGCTTGGACCGGTTGAGCACCTGCAAACACGACCGCACATGAAACACAGCAAACCTCCCTGGCCATGCTTCAGGGAGCAGTTCTTGAAGATCACGCGTCTGAGGGGCCTGGAGTTCTAGGCGCCCCGGACGCTCCGCGAGGCCCCGCCGTGCGAGGCACTCCTCCCAGGCCTCAGCCGATAACTGTCGCTGCGGCTCTGGCCTTGTGATTTAATGTCGCTAGGCATCTTAAGGCTTTGTGTGCAGAGCTTTAGATGCCGGAGAGTCCACTGAGCGTACCGATGATTACTGAACCATGCCTTGCCGGCGACCGCGGATGAAGGCGACCGGGACAAACGATTCTCAACTTCTGATCCCTTCCCTCAACCATGCGAATCGCAAGATCGGTATAACTTCGCCGGTGTCCCCACTCTTCGTGCGGGGCTACAGAGGAGCCGGCAGCTTCGCCATCGAGAGGGTAGCACTCCTCGGCCTTTGGCATGGGATCATCCACGGGCTGCCCTTGCTGGACATGCAGCGCAGAGCTGCAAAGGCAAGAGTCTCATGTCATGTCAATTGCAGTTGGATTGGCACGGCATTGAGGAGGTACTGTAAAGGCACATCGCAATGAAATGTGCCACGATCTATGCCGCGCTTGAACACCCTGCAGTTCAACTTGTTCAACATCACTAGAATCATACCGTTCGGGCACGGTGTTCGACCTTCACTCACGTCCAATCACTGGCTATTGTGGTGAACCACAAATACAAGCCTTTGCGGTATCCACTGGCTCCAGCACTGCCAGAACGAATGGCAGCATCACGTCAGCAGGCAAATGTGCAGAGACGAGCCTCTCGCCAGCAGAGCTGCAGCGGCGGCCTTACGGCGCTGCTCTTCGCAGCTGCCCCGGCATCCGGTATCTCTGCTGCTTGAGGCCGCAGCGCTTTCTTTGGCAGCCGGAAGCGGACAGCGACCTGCACAGAGGGAACAAAAAATTGATAAGAAGAGCTTCAAAAGTCTCCGGCCTGCTGGACGAGAGCCTTGAAGCCTGGCATTGGCAGGGCAGCTTCGAGGGAGAGCTTGCAATGAAACAAATGCCGGCCCCACTCACACGAAGGGGCAAAAGGAAGAAGCGGACGGCCGTATCCCACACCACACGAACCTCGGTACGTCTTCCTTGCGACGTTCGCATCGATCATTCCAGGCACTGCAACAGTCGCGTTAGCCAGGGGGCGCTGAGCATTCGCCGCACACTGGCCAGCCGCTCTTCGGCTGCGCCTGTGTCGACTCCGAGCCTTGGGCGATGGAGAGGAGGCGGGTGAACAAAATACAGCTTGCCTCATTGTGGAAAGGGTCCGGACGTTGTTGCAACTTCGATCGCCTCTTCTGCGGAGTCCACTGAGGACTCGCTGCGGAGATCCTCATGCCCACAGCGACAGGCCATTCTCGGATGCGCAGCCTCACAGGTCCCCTGCTCTGGTGGTTGCCAAAGATGCCAAGTCGGGGGCGGCCTTGCCGAACTCACGATGCTCCCACACAAAAGAAGGAAGAAGCACCGCGAAGCCTCCGAGTTCGCATCCTCGGACATTATCCTGCTGCAGAAGCTCGATATCCGAACAGCGCCCTGTGATGCCAAGGCCCAGGCCCGTCGAGGAGGACGGTTGCATCCTCACGCAGTGCACCCAGCCGAACCTGGCAGCAGAGTCAGCGCAGAAGCTGATTGCCGACTGCCTCGCGTCTGCCTCGATCTCTTCGGCCAGCGACGCCAATGCCGGAGCATCGACTGCAATCACAGGAACACAGTGGCTGCGCGGCTGGGGGCCGAGAACCCCCTGGGCCTTGCCCAGGGTCCGGAGGCGCCGACTCGGCCTGCTCTGCGCAGAGAGCCAGAGCCCAACTCCCAGATCGTCTTTCTCCCTGCACTCGCCGTTTCGGCCTTCACACCCAACTCCCCCAACTCCTGACGCTCAGACCTGCTGGGAGGTCGCCACGGGACGGCTCAGGGGACCCGACGAAGCACGCGAGTCTCGAGTCGCCGACTCCAAGGCCATCAGCGCATTGCGCAGTTCCTCCGGATCGTCCTCAAAAACAAGAGAGCTTCGCTTGGATGCGTGCCACAGCCTTTCCTGCACACGGGCCCGCGTAAGCCTCGTCTGCAGCCAGAGCCGCTCTGGCCATTCCCGCAGCTGTCGATGCCTTGGAGAGTCTCCTAGCCACTCTGGTCAGGTTCTGTGGAAATGACATGCCATGTCGGGCACCATGGCAAAGCAAAGGGAACAGCTGTGGAGTCTGCACTGGACACTCTGACAGAATTCTGTGACCAGCCGCTCGCCAGGTCAGAACTTCTGCATCTTGCCAGCTGTCGGCTTCGCTGCCGACGCCTTCCGGACAAGCTACGAGTACCAACGGTTTGAAGAGCCCTTTTTTGCACTCACCGACCCTTTCTCCGAGGCCGCGGCTGTCAGCGACTGAGGCCTGGTCAGCAAAGGTACTACCAGCACATTTGGTCGGGCAAACGAAGAAACCACGCAGCCGCTTGAAAGGCTGTCATTCTGCTTGAAAGCACCGGCGCGAGGCAGAACAAAGCATGGTAATGATTCCAGCGATGTTACTCGTAACTGCTCAGCTAAGCGACATGATGCTGACAATCAGCAGGCGTTCGTAAACCCGGCACTATGAGGCAACCCGTTTTCGGTTGTGATCCTCGGCCACGCGAGTGTACGCAAGCAGGCGAGTGCTGCTCGAAGCGTGCATTTGCACGCGGTCCTAAAACCTTTGCCGCGCGAACGGCCGAGCCCCGTGCGAGCACACGCGAGCACACAGCTCCAGAAGCACACAGGAAGAAAGAGCATGTGCGCCTCGGCCTCGCTGACGGCATCCACCTGCGGATCACTTTTTCCACAGAAATCTGCAAGGAGCAAGGCTTACAGTAAGAAGCAAACAGAAGTCTCGGGGCCTCTTCGTAGGGGCTTGCCACCAAGGCAGCGATGGAGCTGCTGATCGCCAAGGCCTCGGCCTCGGTCCGCAGCAAAATTCGCCTCTTAAAGCGAAGTCGACTTCTCTTTTCCTTCTGTACTCTTGATCTTACCTTGAGGGCACGAAAAGCCGGCCCAACTTTTTGTTGAGGAAATGCGCGGGATACAACACTTCCTCCCAGGCGACCGCAGCTTGTGAGAAGGGCTCGAGACCACTCTTGGGTCGCCACACCAAGTTCCAAGCATCACAGAACTGCGCAAATCCCCCAATGCACAGCGCGTTCTGCCGCCGCATGGCGAACATCTCATTCATGCTCAAATCATTCCAGCTTTGCTAGAAGAGCAACTGATGCTGTCCACCTTGCTTGACCACCACGTCAAGACACGGTCACTAAGTGTGCTGGCTCTGATCCGGCCCAATCAGTCGCGCAAGGTGCGAGTCCGCGGGCGCGAAGTGATGCCTCTCAAGGCTGACCACACCGGCGAAGCGAGAAGCGAGCAGCTGGACTTGTCCGAGCTCCTGGCCGATTGCCTTTGGAGCTGCACCTCAGGAGTACAAAGCAGTCTGGGGCCCCTGGGGCCCTGGGGCACGAGCTCTGGACATTGAGGCTGCTGCTCACAACTCGCCCGCCTCGAGCTTTAGCGGCCGCCGTGGCTGCATTCGTAACCTGCACCTGCAACACAACAACACAACTGCCACGGCGAACTTCCGTGCGAGCTCCAAAAATGGCTCCCGACCCGCAGCTCCGCGGCCAAGGACTCCAAGTCACTGCGCAAGTTGCGCAGCAACCTCCGAGCGGCCCGTAGCATCGTAGCTCAGAGCTCAGAACGAGTGCGATGAGTTTCCAGGTGCCTTCCACGATTCAGCTCAGCCTCTGTCAGCTGGCGGATGGCCGAAGACAGCTCTGTTAAGTCCTTTGGACGAGGCATCGGCGACCCTTCTGCTTCGAGTTGTTATCATGACCACAATCATGATGATGATGATGCTCATTGTGACACGGGTGGGTAGTTGGGTGGGTCCTTCAGAAGGCATTCCTCTGCCTGGACACTGCGGGCAGGCTCAGAAATTTCCTCGCCAGGGCCGGAGTGCTCAGTGCAGTTACCCACCACAAGAACTTCGTGCACAACAGTCCTTGTAGTGTTGCAAAATGGCCGTAGCACGAGATCGAACGGCTTCCTCGTGGTCTTAGGCAGTACAGCGCTTGGTCGGGATCCACTGAAGTTTGTCTTGCCTGCAGCTCCGACTGAAGATCCTCGAACTCGCCGTCCGTTGGCTTTGGACTTAGACAGAAGCATCAGCAGCTCTCTACGTTCCATCCACGACAACAGCCAAAAGGCTTCTTCTAAGTGCCTGACTCCGAGCAGAAATACCCCGCACGCTCAAAGACCGAGGCCTGCATCACAGCGCAACGTTCTCTGCAAGTGCGACAGGGAAGCGATAAGATTTTGCAGAAGAGCCGTAAGTGCTCGGCAGCCGAGCTCAAAACGGATCCGGCCATGGAGCGGACAGCATGTACAACCTGGAAGCACTACAAAGGCATGCTGCAGCTTCTGCGAGTCTGCCTTGGCTCTCCTCGCCTTGCTCCGGCTTGCATCGGGTACCGCCTTTGGCGCCTTGCGGCGGGTATTTGCCGGCGACGTGCGTCGGCCCATGACCGAATCAGAGCGCAAGGCGGGGCTACTCCGGGCTGCTTTGCAGCTGCGGATCACTATGAATTCGCTGGGGCCGGAAACGGTAAAGGCATGTCTCATGAACGCATGAAGCTTCAAGATGCCTGCATGTTTCGTCGCAACACATCGAGGTCTGCAGGAAGTAGGGCTTGCACAAGCGACATCCGTCTTAGCACCTCCTGGCAGCAGAGACTATTGAGACCAAAAAAATGCTGGTGAATGTCGATGACGGGACAAAGGCCTTTTGAAGAAGACCGTCGATGGCAGCAGCTACGTCCGCAGCAGTTGAGGACTCAGGTGCTGAAAGCATAGGTGCATTGACACTTCCCTGGCGAAAGACATGCACGCGGCTCATAGCCCCTGAGGCTCGGTCTGGCAGTGCTGCCGGTGCATCCTTCTATGACTTCTATTGACAGCAATGCAACAAGCTCCCAAGAGTTCGCATTGGATGTGCTGTCACGCAACGATGGGGAGGAGAAGCGTGATTGCAAGCCCGACTGATTTCTCCACGGACTGAATGCACAGAGGGTGCTCCCTTCATCAGAGGCGTTCTGCAAGCATCTGGAGGCAGCTGCAGCCGGAATGCACGTGGCAATGTCTGATGTACGTAGAGACGCCGTTGCCGCAGGAAGATCACCACCACGTCATCAGGTATGTCACCAGGACTGGGGGCTGGCACTTCGTGACGTCGTGGACGGAATGCAGGCGTTGACTCGGCAGTCTTTGTGAATCTTCGCAGCAGAACATCGAGGAACATCTACATCTTCTTCGTCGGAAGTAACGAATCTCCACCACGAGAAGCGTCAATGCTGAGGGAACTGCGAAGCTGCGTGACAATGGCTCCACCTTGGCGTATCTCTGCCCGAGAAGAGCCATGTAAGTTCAGTGCATCGTAGCCCCAAGACTGTCAAAGGAAATTACGAAAATCCTGCCACTGAGAAAACCCGAATCTCCTCCTGTCAGGCTTGGCCACTGATCCACCACGCCCCAAATGCCAGGGTGAAGGCCTTGCGACGTCCAAGAAGCGACACTAGCGCCACCACCTGGCAGCACAGGCTCCAAATCCCAAGGTCGCTTGCGCAGGCAGCGATGCCACGACAATCCAGTGTTGCTGTCAGGATGCAATGCTGGGGCCCAGCCCCTTGCCCAGGTCATCACACAAGGTGAAAGCTGAGAAGACCGTGCCACGCCGCTCCGAGGGGTTCACGTTCATAAGCACTGCCCGGATGTTGGGGCCTGTCGTTGGATTGATGCGGAGTTTGTGTGCGCACTGCCAAACTTGGAAGCTCCGAACGCTTTCGCCTGCTAGTGCAGCAGACCCGCCGCAGAGAGCCAAGAAAAAGGCAAAGAGCGTTGGCCGGCCGGATGAAGTCGTGATCAGCGCCTGTGTGGGAGGCATAGAAAAACGCAACGCAAGTCTGCTTGGAGTCTTGTTTGTGGGGGTCACTCTGGGGCCTGCGAGGAGTTCACGAGCAGCATGAATGGCAGCGGGGCTACCTTCGAGAAAGAGAAAGAAATGAAAGAGGAGAACGGACATGCCTTGGTGCTTTGAAACACCGAGCTTGGAGCCAGCATGCCGGCGGCGGTCAGGAAGCAGAAGTGTTGCATCTTCTTCTGCCTCTGCGCGTGCTTAGGAAGTGCAGTTCAGAGCGATCAAGTGCCCAGGTTCTCCGGCCTCTGGTTCCAGAGGGACTGTCCAAGGATGCCGCCAGTCACCCCGAAGGCCAAGCAGCTCATGCCAAACACCGCCGTGATGGCCGTGGATGCCTCAGGACAGAGGGAAGGTGCTCTTCGAGCTCTCACGAATCACAACTCGCAGATGACAACTTACAGTGCTCTTGCAGCTGTGGCCCGGTCCTCAACCGCCATGCCTTGGTCGGTTGCCAAATAGTCCGCGAGGAACGTGACGATGACTGAGATGGGGATGCAGCCGGGCAGTGCCTCTCGAAGTGTAAGCTCACAGCTTCCGTGAGCCTACGCTGATGGCTCGTGGCCTGCGCGAAAACCAACATGTTGGATTTCACCGCGAAGACCTTCTGAAACTTGGTCAGGTCCTGAGTTAAATCGCCATCTTCATGGACAGCTTTTTTAGCTGTTCTTGGTGATTTCAGGCTCTGACGAGATCCTCCATGCTAAGTCCTTCCCCACGAATTTCTGCGCCACCCATCCACGCAGAAAAAGCCTCTACCACAGGCTGGCACGATCGGTTCAATGCAACTGCTCATGACGGTTACATTAAGCGCTGCCAGGACGTAAACTATTGGAACTACAGTAACTACAGGGTCACGGAGCTTGTCGCAGACATTCAGCTAATGCCACTGCCACGACAGCAGAGAGCAGCGCAGTGGGGATAAAGACTCGGCCGGCTGCACACTTGCAGGCAAACAGAAGCGCATAAAGTGGATTAACTACGCGTTCATGACTAGCCACGCAACACAGTGCAAGCCCACACTTAGAGGATTTAGTTGCATGACACATAAATAAACCTCGATCTGGCATGACTGAACCAACCTGGAGTGCGAGGACCTGCCCGAGGCACGGAACATCAGCACGCTTCAAGATCCGCCACCTCGTTGGCCACCACCTCCTCGCGCTTCGCCTTGGCCTGGCAACGCATCCAAAGTTGCTCGCAAGTCGACAGGGGATGAAAGGATCCCCGGCCTTTTGCTGCGTCCTTGGGTCTGCCAGAAGAAGGCGGACGAGCGCTGCGCAGACGAGGGTGGGGAGCGCCACGACGGTGAAGGGCATCCTCCAGCCTCGGAAAGGGCGCCGGGCCGAGCCGCCGCTCTTCACTTCAAGGGCCGAAGTCTGAAGTTGCAGGCAGGAGGCCATAGGATGGGCCCACGACCCCTGACCTGCAGAAGCCCCGAACAGCCACGTTCGAAGCACCACCACAGGACCACAGTCACAGGTCCTTCATGATCCGGCCAGGCTGCATGAGACCTCCCAGCGCCGCACCGACATTGCCCGCAGCATTGAGGGCTCCAGAGATCAGCGCGCGCTGGGAGGCTGGAAAGACGTCCGCCGAGAATGCAAACAAGACCTCTTCAGGAAAGTGAATCGACTGCTTGGAGCCTGCCTTCGCTGTGCAGCCGAGGCTCTGGAAAGGAGCCGCCGATCGCGACCTCAGTGAAGAGATGTGCCGCGGCTTCGCCGAAAGTCTAGATGAGCCCGTTCGATTAATCGCCGAGGCTAGTACCCCTGTGCATATCCTCGCCATGAAGAAATAGAAGAAACCTGCCTCCAAGCTGAGATGCCGGTTCAAGAGAGCTCTCAACTTAACTCTGGAGTCCGAATGAACCAATGCAGGACCCCACCTTCGTTGACGGCACCATGAGGCTCATGAGCAGCGATGGGATGCAGCCACAGAGCACAACACAGCAGAGGACGTTGATCCGGTCAAACTGATCTGCCGCAGGCCCCACGAGTACGGAAACGGCACCTTAGCTCCAAGGAGGAGCCTGAGCTCTCCCTACTATGCGTGACTGTGTGACTGCAGCCCGGGCTCCTCCAACGAGGAAGAAGCCAAACTGCACCAGGCCACCAAGCCGAGAGTCCTCTGGCTCTGATGCCGGGAAGGACCTGACTTAGCCCATACCACCGCTAAGCAGTCCTTCTGCATCGGTGTCATCTGGAAGTCGCTGGCAATTTGCGACAGATTCGGGGCTGCCAAATTTTGGTCCGCGTGAAGGCACATTGCCGTCACGAACAGCAGTAGGAAGGTGACCTAACGCGGGACTTGCTAGGAGGCCACCTTTGCCTCAGCATGGATCCGCACCTGGAGCTCCCGCGGCATCTGCAGTATGCCGCCTTCGCCCCCAACCTCTTTGTCTTTGCCATCATACTTGGAGCCCCAGGGCGAGCCACCGCCCTCGCCACCTGGCCCGCCTCGGAAAGCGCATTGTGGCAAAAACATTGGAGGAGCCGGCTCGACGGAGCTTCAACCTACCAATCTACAACCACGGAACGTCTGGAACGAAGATCCGCTTGAGCGTATGCCATGGCAGTGCATGGACTCTGCAAGCTTCCCTGAGCCCAAATGCCGTGAATCAGAGGCGACTCGATGGATCCATGGTGCTCTCCGCCGCAAAGCGCCGCTCTTTCCGGAGCTTCGGTCCTCGCAAATCTTCCGGACGAGTGCGAGCTGATTGCTTGCCTCGGAAAGCTCCGAGCTGAGCCATCTCAGGCGGGTCCGCTTAGCCGTCTGCCGTGCCTCGAAGGGGCGGCGCAGTGCTGCGACCTCGTAGACCACGGCACCTTCCCGACGTCGAGACGAGAGCGGATCCTTGCTGTGCTATTCCCTTCATCTCGCCTAGTGCCCAGCCATCGGCAGCTGGTCCGTACCTGGCTCAGGTTTAGAGGTCGCCCGATTGGAGCTCCGAATCAAAGGCCCCGGCGCGTCGCCGGAGACGAGCTCGGGAGCAAAGTAGTACGGCCTTCGATAAACCAAGGCCAAGGCCAAGGCAAAGTCAGGTCAAGCCAGAGCCAGCCACAAGTTACAAGTTATTGGTACACCGGGGATCGGACGTACCTACGAGGCTGTGAGCCTGCAGAGTCGTAGCTTCGACAAGCTTAGAGATGCCAAAGTCGGAGATCTTAATCCGGCCGGATCTCCTGCGTCATCTCAGCAGCCGGAGAGTCGGACAAGCATGAATAATGAAGGCTTTGAAGGTGGGGCGCCTTGAGAGCAGGATGTTTGCCGGCTTGACCTGGAAGCATTTAAGGCTGCTGGAAGGCTTAGAGACTTTGGCGGCTGTCGTCAATGGAACTGCAGCACCCACCAAGATCACAACAGCGCTCGGGTCATGTGAAAACTCTGCACAGCCAAGACACGTCTCTGTGCAGGATGCCGACGCCATGTATGTACCTCAGGAAACTCAAGTGGCACCACCAGCGCTGATGCAGGGATATCTGAGAAGCACACTGCAATGCACCCCCGACCGCCGCGAGCACTCGGCGAGGAAAATGTGCATCAAATCCAGTCCCGGCCTCCATCATGTCCACACCGGTCAAGCTGGACGAGCCAAAACAGCACGAAGCGCCTCTCTTTGGCGCTCGATGAGGCCATGAAGGTCGCCTCCGTCCATGTATTCCAGCCTCGGTTCTTGGGTTCCACCGTTGAATCGTCCCTCTCTACACCCCTCAGGCCCTGACACCAGACAGACGACCTGCCTGAGCAGTCCGCCGATGGCAGAAAGCACTAGCAGAAGGAACAGGCAACTCGTGCTGGCGCCGCCGATCCATCTCGTACAGGACATCTTCGCAACTCACCTTAGATAGCACAGATCAATGCGGGGTGTACCGACAATCAACCCTGTAGCATAAAGCAAAACTGAGCAGTCAGCGATGTGTGGATAACGGAGCTCCTGGCCGTGCATGGGTGATGTTTCAGCACCCTTCGACAGCAGTCTTACCAATACCACGTTGTTTTGGAGCAGAAGCACTGGCTACAAGACCGACGTTCCCAGTACGACTTTACCAAGACTGCAACCACCTGCATCAGATGTCCAGCCAGACACTGTGTTCAGGAAGGTAGGTCTCGTCGACGGCTGTGGTGCAGTGTAAGCAATTTAGCAGCAACGTCTCAGCATCAGAGGAGCGCAGACGAGTGCACTCCCACAACGGGATGCAAGATCCTCAAGCAAAAACCGCTCCTGAAGCAGAGCCGCTTCGGCCAGGGCAGCCTGATGCAAGAGTGAGCCTGACCATGCACCTTCCTGCCACACACAGCTACAAAAACAGATGGCCTCCAAGGCAGGGTCGGAGCTCTTGCTGCCGGCGTCCTGCGGTCTGACATTCCTCCCTCTGAGGCACTGCGAACTCACGGAAGCCGGTCCCTTTGGTGAGCCGCATCGTAAGAGATGACCTGAACCAAGTGCCGCACCCGGCTGCTCCAGAGAACGTCCCCCACCTTCATGGCATACCGTCCCTGCCGCTGCACCAGAAAAACCTGGCCGGAAGGAGATCTTCGCGAAGTCTCAAACGTTCACATGCCTTGGTTTTTCCTTGGCCCTCTATTTGCCGGAGCACACGACTCAGTGCATCCAGAATTAAGGAGCATCCAGCACTCTGCATTGTCAGCTTAATTGTCAGAGCAGGCGTTTGAAAGCCTTTGCTGATAAGACATTGCAGCTCCTCAGAGCGATGCGTTAGACTTCGACCGGCTTTTCGACGACGACGACGACGACAGTGACGACAAGCACGACACGACTTACCGCTCCTAGTGCTGTTATGCAAAGCCTGGTGAGATTGGGTAGTGAACTCCAAAGACGGCACCTCGCCATAGGCCCCGCGTCCCAGGAGTCGATCGATGGTAAAGCCGCCAATGGTCTCCCCGGTCTGTCATCAAGTTTCGGTCTAGCGGAGGCTAGCGGCTCGCGGTCTAGCGGAGTCTAGCAGAGTCTGTGTGCAGTTGCAGTTGCAAAGATGGGCGCCCTCGTATGCAATGTGCCAGCTGTGCCCGGAATGCCATGGCGCACTGGCACCATGACAGACCACCAGCTAGGCAGCAACACTTTTAGCACCGAAGCTCACGTGTTACTGATATCGGTGAGAGGAGTCTTCGATCATGTGCGAGCATCGTTAGATTCATCGTCGGCTAAGGCTTCACCGATGAAAGCTGAGACGGAACTTGCAGCTTGGTCGCGTCTCCCGAGCTAAATGCCGAATGCGAAAATCACGGCCTTGCATTGCTGACTTTTTAGCCATCTTGGGCAAACTTTCAGCATGTCGATGCAGGTTACTTCCGGCCCATCCAACCACCCAGTCTGCTGCCAAGACCACCTGATCATGCGCAAAGAAGAGCAGGAGCGGTGTTAACATGAGAAGCTGGGGCCAATACCCAGCGCTCCGGCCACAGCAGCAACGGCCTGTCGGCCTTTGCCTTCGGAGGAGCTCTCTCTCTCTCTCTCTCTCTCTCATCTCTCTCTCTCTCTCTCTCTCTCTCTCTCTCTCTCTCTACTCGCTGGCCATAGGACCATAGGAATGAAGCTCCTGGGGTCCCGGGTTCCCCCAACCTTCTTGCTTCTTCGGGAGAATCGCTTCGAGGTCGGGAGCCCTGAGAGCAGAAGCAGGACATGGCCACAAGGCCTCGAGGGCTGAGGCTTGGGGCGGTGCTCGATGCAGGGGAAAGCCAAGTCGAACAGCAAGGGCTGGCAGGGAGCAGATTCCAGAGCGGTTTCACGCTTCAAGCACTCGGCAAAGGGTCACCTTGCATGGAATGTCTCGAAATCTCGGAGGGAAGGTGGCCAGAACGTCCTGCGGCACAAGCGCTGTTGGAAACAACCCGTTCTCACCTACAGTCATGAAACGGAGCTCCTGCTTTGGGTTCTTTGGCTGAACCAGGTCGGCCGTTTCCTGAGCTCCCCGATGGTCGCTTGCGACGATATCAATCAAGGAGAAGCGCTACTTGTAGGAGGCAAGAGCACATGGAGCGTTGCAGGCCTCAGCTTCAGCGTCCTTCTTCTTCTTCTTGCTAGCCTGAAATCGCTCTAGTCGTCGTCAGGCCACAATTCACAAACAGAGGCAGGGTGCTGACTATTGGAGCCTTGGCCAACTGCACCAAAATCCTGCAGCGCCAGCGTGCGACCCTCAACCTCGAGTCAAAAGGGATCCCCTCCCTCGGCCCTCGGCCCCCGCTTTCCCTTGCAGTCGGGAGCTGGGGTTGCCGGCGGCAGCTGCTGCTGCAGGTGCTGGAACAAGCCTTGAAGTCGAAGCAGAAGCCCAGGCTGCTCCTTTCCCGGAGCCTCGGCGCACTCGGGCGTCGGGCGTTCGCTCACCCTAAGGCGGCCGCATGCGGTCGCCTCGTCGACGCGGCTCATCAGCATCTCCAAGAGAGCCGCTGCCTGCCCCCAGGCTCACGGGCCGCACGAGGTGTGGAACAGCGGGAGCCCGCCCTTGGCTGCCTCCAGCAGCTTGCCCAGAGCCGCATGGCAGAGGGCCAGGTAGAGGCATCGATAATCAAGAATTACCTCGTCGATGTCATGAAATCACCAAAACTTGTTAAACATGTGTTCAAGTGCTGCTTGGAAGCCTTCTTGTAGACCCCGAATGTTTCCTGACAAGGTTGCTGGTCTCTGCAGCCTAATCTCAAGCGAATTTACCCTACGCATGACATGAGCGAGCCTCAGTGTCCTCAGAAGACTCGGGTAGCTGAGAGAGTGTCGCCAACTCCTCCTTCACGAGCTCGCAGAAGCGCATTCCCTGAAAGAACTCAGGGCCCTCACATGCCCTCACACTCGGACCAAAATGCGGCGCTTCTACTGGCCTCCTCCGGCCGACACTGACGCCGGGATTCAATGGTGCTCACATCCTCGATCTCATCCAGCTTCCCTAGGTGGCTCCTCCGACGAAAGGCCCCTCGGCGTCTCTGTGCGCATGCACTGTCCTTCGATCATGCTTCCCGTCCTCAGCAAGATCAGATTGCGCTCCACACCTCAGAAGCGATCGGGTCTTTCCCGCGGCTGTTCTCTCACTTCATCCCGACGCACAACGAAGAATGGGGATGAACACATCGCCCAGCGGCTCACGCAAGACGAGGCCTCCCGGATGAATGCCTGCGATTCTGTGGTAGGCTGGGACCTGTAACGGTCTGCAACGAGGGCTGTGCCTGGCCTCCACAATGCGCCAGTCCGCCGTGTCGCTGTCAGCTCCCGCTGCGATCATCTCGGAGTGAACATCCTGGCCGTTGGCCATTGCACATGTGAAGTTGCCCTCTTCCCGCATCCTTCAGTGCATCGCCATACTCCACGGATAGCTCACCTCAACAAAACCCGCTGCGCAACGTCTCTGGGGTATGCAGAAACTGAGTTCTTCGCCATACTTCTCGGCGAAAACAGCCCCAGGATTATCCTGAGAGTCCGCCTCAGCCTGGCGTGAATCGCGAATCGCGTGGCCCAGGCATCGGTGCTCGACCTGTGCTGTTCCACACTGCGCCTGCAACGCCTTCGTCATCTCGAAACACTTCCTCGCGGAAAAGGAGAGGCACATAGAGGCACTGAGAAACTCTCAGAGTCTCGGATCTCAACGGACCGAAGCTCATCCGAGGGGGCTGCATGACTTTGGATCTGATCTTGTCAGACGGAATCGATACGGCATGGCTGCGGAACACGAGGTCCCCGTCCCGTCCCTGACCGCGAAGCTAGTAAGTGCCATCATCGTGCTGCTTAGTCGGCTGGACACCAGCCTTATCGTCACCAGCCGCAGTTGCCTCACAAGCAGCGGCAGCGGAGTAAGCACTTGCAAGAGCGTCCACAACAGACATGCGTAGACAAGCCTGATAGGAAAACTTCTTCCCCGCCTTTCCGAGCCCATCTTCATCCTGCTCCGCCTCTCCAAGATTGTACCTCTGTGGCTCTTGGCAGGGAGTGGCGAAAAGCATCAGAACACACACGCACCTGCCTGCACTCCCGAAGCATCGGGGCAAGCTCCTTGTCAGGCGGTACAGATCGATAGCTTAGCATCTCAGAGTCCGAATGGCACCTGAAGATATGTTCGGAAGGCGGAGGCTTCCGCCTGTCTGCAGCTGGGAGGCCGAATTCCGAATACCAGCACACGGAATCTCATCTAGGAATCTAGGATGAGCCTGGTCGGCAGCGAGGAGGAAATGTTCGAAGAGCTTCTTGCTACGTGCCAGCTTCGTCTTGGCCTCGAGGGCTCAGTGATCTTCAGTAGCGCCAAGCTCACACAGGGCTGATCGGCTGATCTGTCATCCTGCCTCGGTCCAGTTCTCTCGCTCCGTGAGCCATGCTCCTGCAACAGGCTTCATCCAGGCTACGAAGTAACAGGCTCTGGTTGCACAACAGGCCTGACATGAAAGCAGCGTAAGCCTGCAGAGTCTGCGATGAAAGCTTCTTGCAGATCTTCAACTACAAAAACCACAAAGGGTGCAGAGTCGACCTCTGCTTCAAGCTGAGTGCGCTGATCGCAATGCACTTTGCATACCTCGGATATGATGCCTCCCTGCCTCCCTCATAGAAACCCCCGCAGCGCAAGCACTGGTGACCGAGACAACTGCTGCCTCTAGCTGCTTGGCATATTCGCAAGCCTTCGCCAGCCTGACGGATTCGCATGTCCTCTTTAGCTCCGGCCTCTGCCGAGCCTTCCCAAGTAACTGCTCCGGAGAAGAAACGAGGTCCCCACTTGCGCTCCGAGTGATGTCGCCAGCGCGCATTGAAGGCCTCGAACCCATGTCTGTGAAAGTCTGGTGCCGTGAGGGCCCATCGGAAGCATCCAAGCTCAGCGGTCCACAGCAGCCGCTGCATTGTCTGCCTTCAACTGTACCTGAACGTGAAAAGACGTCCATGCAAACTTAAGTCCACTTCTGCTGACTGGCTCACCGCGAAAGCCCAAGCTCGCTCTGATTGCACCAGCGGAATGAAGATCCACTTCGGATCGTCGAAATTCTCCGGGAAGGTCGCCTCAACTGCGAACATGTCATATATGCATCGGAGTTCCATGGCAAAAAAACGGTCGCAAGGCCGGGCCTGCTTGAAGCGGCCCTTCCCGTGCTTGAAGCGCAACTGGACATAGAGCCGACGGAGGCGGCGGCTGCAATACTGACGATACCTCAAAGGGGGACAAAACTGCTTGCGTCAGCTTCGCTTTATGCCCTCTGCCCTCCGAGTGCCTCAAATGATCGTTGTGGCGCAGCCCATTGAGGCTGCGATGAACCTGTGGATGGCAACTTCTGCTTCCGGAGCTTGCATAGGGAAACTCAACGGAGGTCCTGCACAGTCGTCAGGATCTTGACAGTGAACGGATCGTGAGCTTTGGCCTCTGGCTCCTGTTGGACAGGCGGCCATTCTTCATACATGCGAGAACGTTGCAGTCACTTAATTCATGGATTGTGCTTGCTGCCTGCGTCGGTGCTTCAGGCACTTCTTCGCTGGCCTCAAGCGGCATGCTTGTATGCAGGAACTTCACTGCACACGAGCCAACAGACTCTCGGGGTATCGACCATTTGGCTGTCAGGAGGAAGTGCCTCGGGGGTCTGTCCCGGCTCTGCTGGCGGGGTTCATACCGCATGCTTCTTCCGTTTCTGAGGCCAAAGACTGCAAGCCAAGGAGGGCTGCCCTTGATGGGTCTACGCCAGCGTTGCACACGTTGAGCTATCTTCAAGCCGGTATCCGCCCCCAACTTGCAACAGGAGCGTCCTGGAATGCTTGTGTTTTTACCTCACCACCTTAATCAGAGCAAATACGGTTGTTCAATTGTTGTAGCAACTGGAACTCTGGCTCTGGTTTGCTGAGCCGCAGGACTTGACAGATTCAGAAGCCCCGGATCCTGGAAATCCAACGAATGATTTGGCACTGGAAGATCCGCTTGGAAAGAGGAATCTTTTTGGGGCTGGCAACGGAAACCGTTGAATGAATTAGCCGCATTCGCAGCTAGTGACACGGACCACTGCGTCGGGCCGCCCCAACCGTGGCAGAGAGTTTCCGTGAAAGCCTGCGTGGCCTCCGGTGCAACTGT